AATTAACATGAAGAAAAATAACACGAAACGAACAGTTTCACTTTTTTTCGTGAAAAAAACAACTATTCGATGTTAATAGAAACAATTTTGTTAATGCGTAATTATTTTTTTGTTCATGCAATCTAGCTAACAATGAACTTGGCAGAATTGCACAACTTTTCCCACGATTTGCGCGCAAAAATAATAAGAACGGAAATGTTTTATCATTTCGACTTTGGAAGAAGAATATTTTTATTTATTTCATTCATATGTTGGCATATATTGTTGCTGCATTTTTTTCAGCGAAGGAAAGAATGAGACACTAAATCATAATCGTGCCTTCAGTCATGATGTTAGATACAATTCAAATGAGAAATTGTCAATGAGACCTTAGTGAATCTGATTTTGTGCACCTGTGTCAGCTTTATTTCCATGATTGAAACGCACGAAAAGTCTTTTTTTTTATGATGACCCCAACAATATTTGCATTCACTCACTCTCATTGAACGTCTACGGGTGGAGAGACTGTGTAGAGAGTGGCGGTGTATGCATTTAATTTACGCGTCACAAATGCTGTGAGGTGACGATTCGCCATTGAGCGTGATCGACCATTGTATGAATTTACTGTCTGCTATAAACGCAGACAAGTACTTTAGCACACGATGAATCGACAGATAAACTGGACAAATGGTAATCATGTATTGGCATTGCCACTGCTGATACAATTCGTTCAATGAATATGTATGCTGGGGCTCGTCGTTATTGTGTCAGTGTCAACAGTTGCATGTTGCTTTTTTGTTCATGTGTGTACGTTTTGCGGATGACTCATAATTTTATCTCTAATTAATAATTACTCATCTATCGACTAAAAACAATTAACAAATGGAAATTCAATGATAAATTCTGATCAATTCTGATTTTGTCTTGAATGTTGATTTTCTTAGTGAAGCAGACTCTTTGGCATGAGAATTTGCTTTTGAATCTGCTATGATTGCATCATTAAAAATGATATACCATGCTTCGAATTTGCGAATGTTCACCTTTTTCAATGGCATCGGGCGATCCAATTAATTTTGATTTTCGTACGTACAATGCAATTACAGTTTGGTTTTCATGACAAAGAAGCGTTCATGCTAAAATGCGCAGATTGCATAAATGTAGGCGCTTTTCATGACTTTTCTTTGTATAATACACAAAGCAAGTATATTTTTCATGGTTCAAAGACGCGAAGGTGGGTGTCTTGTATAGTATATTAAATCTTTTTAAAGCGCGGCATCGGCCACTACTACACAATAACGATAGAGGTGTTCATTTTAGCACAATTTGTGAAAATATTTTAATTCTTTTGTGCTGCTTGGCATCGACTTCACTTTTAAAGTTCTGTCTATGTTTACCTTTGACTTTATCGCTCGCGGTATTGACGGCAGAAAAAAAGACGCAAAACGTGAAAACTTTTCGATAACTGTTGTGTAAAGTGCCCATTCATCACATTGAAATCCGCTTGGTAAACACGAAAAAGATGCCGAAAAAAATTCAATCAAAGACATTTTTCTCCATTTTTTTTGTGTGCGAGAGTTTCGAGTTTCATAATCGAGCTGGTACTTGTGTAGCGTATCAAAGAAGAAAATAAATCCGCATGCGGAATAATTGAGTTTTGGTGGCTTTTGTCAATAATAATGTGTCACAGAGACGAAAAAAAGTGAAATATCTTTTGTGGTTTGGCTCGAAGTGAATAATCTGTCTTTTCCTGCCGGATAACAATCGTTTTTTCCTTGTTATTTTCAAGTGTTTTCGGTATTTTGAGTGACAAATTTTATTTGAAATATTGACGGAAAAATGGCTTTTGTTCATTTCAATGCATTATCATCATTCGAACATTTTCGGTAGCACCATCCATTCATAGCATATTTTAAGCTCATCAAATTACTTTTTTCTGTCTGTTTCTCATTTTTCTCTATGTAACATCGTTTCCATGGTTGCCATCACCACCGCTGACATTTTTTTGTGGTTTGGACAAAAAAAGTGCAATATGATTTGCGGTGGTCACGTGCTAATTTAATGACAACCAGAACTTATTGCTCACATGTGGACACATACTCGTCGAATTACCAATCTGAGCACATTCATGAGAAAAATGAAACCAAAAATACTGCATTAAACTGAACTGCTTTTAACTTTAGAGCAACAATTTTATCGAAGTAATCTGGACGAGTGACAAGAAGAATCATATTTTCCCAGATTTTTTTTGATTTAAACTACACGATTTTTTCCATAAAAATAAATATCACCTATAAAATTCAGATTGAATTTAAAATTAAATTTCCCCCTTTTTCGATTGAAAGCGAAAAAAAAATCTGATTCGATCACATTTTTTTTATTCTGGGGCTGCGGCGATTCTAATCACAAAAATTCCCACAGATTCTTTCGCACTTCATTAGAACTATACTACGGTTATGGGCCATGTATAAATTGAATAAATCGATAATCTGTTGAAAATTATTTCCGTGTTCATTCCTGTAAAATCTAGCACCCGAACACGATTCGAGTTAACGGGTGTCAAATATTCGTCATCGCTTCTCAAAATCAAACGATTGATTGACAGTTTGTGGATGTTAAAACGAAACCAATAAACGGAGAACTAAGGGAGATTTACTTTTCGGTGGCTGTGTATGTTCATGTGTGAAAATGGTGCAAATCAACGATACATAATCTCTTATTAATAGACATATTCTCATATAAGAGAGCATTGAACACCACGATTGTCCTTTTTCTGGTCTTTTATAATAATTTTTATTAGTCAGTTTTTTTCTATTGTGGGTTTCTGGATAGGCCAACGCATTCAAACCATTTTTTTTTGGGCAATTGAATTTTGATGCGTGATGCGTGTGTGAGTTTATTAAAAACGCACGCACGTCATTTAGTTGGCGTTTGTAGAAGACCAAGGATTAGCAATCAATACTCGTGTCGTTTTCAATATTAAATATGAATATTATACATTGTTTGAGAACAACAGTTCTTCATACCAATCCGACCAAAATTAGTCATTTGTATAAAAAGTGATTATGATGTTATTTGTACTTAAAAACTGATACGATGGCCCGCAAGTGGCAGAAAATGAACACAAAGTACTCTATTTAATAACATTTCAGCGGAATAGAGAGATTAGTTTCTATTGACATCGATACGGATGACACATCACGATATATTGTGAACGCGAACTAACCTCAGTATAAAAGTCTATGTACGTGCTCTATCCAATTTTTCGTGTAAATCATTCACTGTCGAATCGAGTGGGGTTGAAGATCAGCCTTATTAAAATTATTAGAACCGTCGGCTTAGTTGTGTGTCGGGTTGTTTTACTCATTCTGTTTATTCCATATTTATTTTTGTAAACATTATTTTTCGAACGCAAACCGCTGAGAACTTTAATTTTTTTAAATAAATTCAATTTGTTTCGAAAAATTTCCCAGACATGTATTTTCATTCAAAATATTGAGTGAGAAAAATACAATTGTAATGAGTCAATTTATTTTTCAGAGATTTCATTCAGCTAAACTATTTATTTTCCGGTGCCTCTCTGTTGAAACCATATAAAAACCCTCGTACGAATCGACTCGAAAAGGGCCTTGACTTTTCTTTGCTCTATTTGCACCAGCTAAATAACGTCATCCAATGGTAACACTGAATTTCACTGGACCGAAACATTGCTGTTGTTTTTGGTTTTTCCAAAGGCGGTAGCACTATTGGCTACGATTCAATCACTGCACATTTTCGCTGAAATGAATTTCAAATCAGACATTTTACATGCCACGGAAAAATATATATTCATCATAAAATTCGGATGTGTATATTTGTTGGCATTTTCGATATATCGAAACGATAAGTTGTTGAAAATTTTTTACTTATTTAATTTGGCGTGCTAATCAAGCCACTTTGTGAAGCAAGAAATTTGATTTTTCGTTTTATTGTGAAATTTAATTAAATCGGAATTCGGATCAACTTGAGTGAGTTTTCTCTTTTGAATTTCTGTTTCTATTTTACTTTCGCTCTCATATTCTTCCAATTTCTTCTTTGGCGGTTACAAAATCTCTGCAAAATACTTTTGTTAAAGTTGCTGCAATTTACATTATACTTAAAGCAATCAATGCAATTTTCATTAAACTTGATGACGCATGTTTCAAAGACGGTGTTGGATGAATCAAAACGTAAGCATTAGTTTCACTTTGAAGTCAAATATGAAGTTCATAAAAAGACCACAAACATGTAACTATTCCACACCCAAAGCTATATTCAATTGGAATGTCTGGATTTTGAATTACAGATTAAATACCAAATTACCATCCAAATGTCATTTTAGATACACTTGAGACATACAGGAAATAGAAATCTGTTATGCGATGGCACTTGTTTGCCATATGAGGATGTGATTAATTGTAAATGATGATTGCTTGCGGTTTTCTTGATAAAATCGACGAAATTGCATATGATACAGCCAGGTGTAAGGTTACGTGAAATTTGACATGAAATATCATAGTGTCAATCGTTTTGAATCTATTGTCTCTTCCCAGATGTTGATTATTATAATTGACTGATGAGTATACCATTCAAATTAAACAGTACGTTTTATGTTGTGGATATATTACGATATGAATAAGATGCCAAAATCAAGTATTTACATAGTGATTGCATACATTCCATAGTTGCTTCCCTTTTATTCTATAATATGAGTTCGATACATTTATTCACTTTTTATCTTTCAAAGAGCACAACAATTTTAAAAATAAAATGTTCATACATTTCAAATAGAAACAACAAAGTTTTGTCAATTTAAATTTACTATCGTGCTAAAAATTCATGACAAAAACAATATCGTTCAAACACGATTGTAAATAACGTCACCGTCGAATAAAAACCAAGTATAATTTGATTTTATACATATTTGAATATGACTGTCACGAACCGACAATTTTGCTATAAAAGTCACAACTTTAATGAAATTTATTTCAGTTTGTGTTCGGTCTTTGGAACGAAATCAGTAAAAATGAGAAATCTAATAGTGTTCGTTGGAATTATTTTGGCAGCAACAACAAATATAGCCAATTGTTGTACGTGCATACAACCGAAAGAAAACGAAAAAGTGTGTGGATCCGATGGCAAAACCTATGATAGTGGATGTTATCTATTTTGTGATTCGTTGTATCGAAACGAGAATGAATCTTGTTTAACTGAAGTATTCGATGGTGAATGTGGCCCATCGCCGTGTATTTGCACAGATAAATGTAGTCATGTTTGCGCGTCGAATGGAAAGACCTATGGAAATGATTGTACACTGAAATGTGCCCAAAATGTGGATCAAAGCATAACCAAGATAAAAGAAGGCAAATGCGGTGCATGCGTGTGTACGTTGGAGTATCGGCCACTATGTGGATCAGATGGCATAACATACAGCAACAACTGCGAGCTTAAATGCGAGCAAGAAAAAGATAAAAATTTACGCAAAGTATCTGACGGAGCATGCCCTGGCAGTAGTCAAGAATAAATGCACATTATTTAGAAACATTATTAAACTTTTGTTCTAACTAAATGTTTTTTTGCAGAGATATTAATACTAGTTTTACTCAACCGCAATGTGATTCTGATCTTTTTTGAAGGTCAAAGTCATACGATAATCTTTAGTTCTATGAAATAAATTGTATGAATCACATTTTTTTTTGTCAAGGCCTAACTAAAAATAACTATAAAATAAACAAACAAATAAACTGAAAATAACTCTTATCTTTTATTAAATAATCTGTTCTGCTTAATTTCTTATGTCAATCTCATCTTCCTCTTGGTACGACAGCAATTTACATTTATTTTTCGTCTTTGTACAGAAACGCAATAAAGATATTTAGAGGACTAATAAATCATCTCTAGAGAGATTTGTACATATACTTTTATAAAAAAAATATATCAGTAAATTATATGTTTTAAGGTTTAAAATTTAAACTGGGTACTTCCCATAATAAAACACACATCTTTATTTATTACGTTGCTATATATCCATAGCTGGTCAGACAGGAGAGGGGTTTGTGATTGTATGAATACATAGATAAACATTATTGGTGTGTATAGAACAAAAACATCAAGCGTGTCGATACAATTTTGTTGTTGTTTTGATTGTTAAATTAAAATGAAGAATCAAATTTCAATATTTGGAATAACTGTAGCAATTGCACAGCAACAGATCTATTACACCATTCCTGGACGATGGAGTTTGTGGATCAGATGAAAATACTTACGCCAGCGGATGTTCTTTGTACTGTATTTCTAGAAACAAAACTGAATCGTGTTTAACTAACGTGATGAAAGGAAAGCGCAATTCTGAGCATTTGTACGAGTCCAGTCAATGCTACTCGACGTGTATAAAATATTTTGGTGACGTGTCAGCTTTGTCGAAGCGATTTGGCATTTCGTTGAACAACTTCGAAATTGTCTGTTACCTAAGAGTTGATCAGAAGAAAAGAATGGAAAAAATGGAAATTAATCAATGCGTAATGGATCGGAATGGAAAATGAAACTATAGATGAAAGTATATACTTTATAGTTAAGTAAAGTAAATACTTATAAAATCTATGACCACAACAACAACATTGCTTTAATTTGGGATTTCATTGTAGCAGTGGTAGTGTTGAGATCGCTGATCACTGTGAAAAAAAAAGAGAAAAATTAATATGCTTACTATTTCTAGTACTTGTTAGCATCGTCCACTACTAGGTCTTGGTATCATTGTTTGAAACAATGAGATTCCCATTGTGAGAATGTTCGCGTAGACGTCCGTGCTTATATTTTTAATTTTTGATTTTAATTGTTGAAATAATAATGGAGTTGATGCCCGAATGGTCGAAAACAATTTGGCATCGGCAGATGATCCAGCATGTACAATCCCTTTTTAATCATATTTCTCGCTGCATTTATGTCGCGATTGAATATAACTGTTGTTTTCGGTTCCAGCTGCTTCTTGTATCTCTTTTTCTTTTGTTTTGGTTGTGGATTTGGATTTGCTTCTGGAACCGGTCGATGGAATGTACATATGGAACGGTATTTCCATTCTTGATGTTTCTTTTTGAAAGTACGATGAACTCTGCCTGTCCATTGAATTGGATCGTGAAAAACGCCATCTTCGACCGGTTTACAGTTGGGGCAAACTAGAAAACTGATTTTTTTTGTTTGTTCAACAATGGAGAAAAGAAAATACAATCAATAATAATAATAATAATAATAATAATTTCATTGATTGGCAATGGTATGCCAATCGAAAACAACTTACCGGTCTTTTGATTGACGTTCTGGCACACTTCTTCGTTTCTTCAGCTTACGTCCTGATCGACTACACTTCCGCGATGTATTATGTTCGTTGATTGGCAAAACAAATACATATTCACGTGCCATTTGTTGCAATGCACGATGCGGACACCGTAGATATCCTTTGATTGGGGAGTTTGATGCAAATTTTGCACCACCAAATGCCAATATCACTGTTTTCTCAGCATCCGACATTCTACGATCGACTTTTGTCATTTGCTTCACCAACACATGCAATGCTACCTGCGTACGTGTATATGCATCAAACTTTAAACGAACCACACGTTTTTGATACTTTATCTGTATAAATTAAGAATGAATGACACACACACATCAATAACATGAAATTAAATCAACTCAAGAGAGAGAGAAAAAAATAAATACCTCGCATGATTCATTGAATACATCCAGCTGGTAATCCAGATAGGTATGATAGTCAGCGCTTTTCTTCGATGGCGTTTCCTCATAGATTTCGCGATTTTCTCGCAGTTTACGACATTTTTTCTCAAACGCACCCGTAAATCGCTTCAGTTTGTATTGGCGGTCGAAAAAACCGGTCATATGGTGCCACTCTTTCGATGATTTCAGAAAATTTTCTTCATTATCGGTCGCTAAATCTTTGCGTACGACCCCCACAAATTCTCTGTAGCCCGGATCACAACCGATAATTCTCTCAATTTGTCCTGAATCGTAAGCACGTTGAATGATTGGCGGCACTGGATCCGGTTGTTCTGGATTCGGAACTGCATTATTGTCATCATCACCATCATCATCATTGTTTTTGTTGTTATTGTTGGTGTTAACGTTTCTGGATCGCCGAATCATTTTCAAATGAACTGAATATCCATCGGTGGTGAATGAAAAGTCAAACTATTGACTCGGCTTATTGATTTTGTCCAAATTTACAAATCGACGCCAAAATGCATTGTGTTGGGCATGCGTCCACGGACCTCTGTGCGATGGGATTTTTTGACCAGTCCCTGCTTCATACAAGAGATTTGTCAGCAGTACGAATCCATCTGTATCGAATCTTGCATGATATTTGGCATTGCTTGATTGTTGCACTGCCACAAACGATGACCAATTTCGATGCGGATTGGTTGCATTGTGCGCATGGATTACACGTTGTAAATTCAACAATTCGTAAACGTACTTGTACCTGTCATAGAAAATTTGATGGAGAAAGAGATTAACATCAATTGAAATTTAGTTTAGTGGTGAATGATTGAATATACGATGTGAATAAAAGTATGTATATGTATTAAATTTACCACTCAAATTTGCTGTGCGTCTCAATCAACCAACCGCGTGGCACTGGCAACGGTTGTTGTTGCCGTCCTCGTCGCCCTCGTTGCCGACCTCGTCGCCTTCCTCGTCCACTTTGAGGCCCACGCCGTGGTGGCGTTTGTCGTCGCCGTCGCTGTGGTTGTACCTCTTGTGGTGGCACCAATGGTTTCAATTCTTCCAAATAGCGATTCAATAAATTGGCATTTGGTCGACACGTTGAATTTCGGTCACATAGATAATCCATGGTTTTGTTTATTTGATGTTTTGTTGCACCCAAATTTTTGAAATATTTTCGCATGTATCGTCTCATGTGCGTTTTCACGATTAATTTCGCATTTTGGTCGTATTGTTCGATCGCAAATTTCAATACTTGGTTGGCATTTTCGAAATCCAATTTGGTTTCGATGTCGTTTTCGATGAAAAAATCACGAAATTCATTGTCCAATGTGTATGCTGGTGTATGGAGTGGGGTTTCTTTCAATGCTGTGAAATATTTGTTTGCATTGAATTTGGCCAAAAATTCACGACGGATTTCGACATCGGAACCATTTTCAACCAACTGATTCAATATGAAGTGCACATAAAGCGATGCCAATTTGAACATTTTTGGGGAATTGACCACAACTCGTTTAATTAAATCACTCAGACATTGTTTGTCTGGGAAAACTTTTTCATCGCGCAAAAATTGATTCAGTGTCATCACCACGGTGAATTGTTCTAGGTTTTTATTTGTTGTTTCACCTCGTTTTGCTCTCATTTCGTTTTGGCGTTTCAATGGCTTTTTTGTCGTTGTCGTTGTCGTTGTAGCTGCTGATGTTCATGCGGCTGCCACTGCCGATGTCGATGTGGATGGCTGTGGATTGGCATTTGGTGCATTCAGTGGCACTTGATTCACATTTGATGGTATTGCTTGTGTTTGGCCATCATTGGTACATTCAATTCGTTCATAAAATAAAACATACGCATCACGGACAATTCTTTCGGTATTTTTAATAAGTGACAATTGTTTATCATTGAATAGGTAAAATGATTTATTCGTTGGATCATCATCGTTGCCACTGTTCTTTGATACCAACGTCACATAGTGGCCGTGATCTAAGTCGTTCCCCTTGTGACACACCATTGAAATCAACCGATAGCGGAGTGATGGAAAAATGTCTATACACGTTGGCGTTGCATATTTTGTTAAGTCCAGTTGATCATTGATGGCAATGTTTTTGGTCATTTTCCCAGATCCATCCACTTCGAATCGTTTCAAATGTAAAACGATAACTTCGGGAGCTGTACCGATTTGGTCTGTTTTATATTTGTCGCGATTGCAAATCGTGCAAGTATTTTCCAATTTATTCGGTTCAAAATAAACGTCGAGTGCTTCATGCACACTATTAATATTTTCATCGTTTATGTTTAACGATAAAATGCCAAAATCATGTGTATTAAACGTTTTTTCATATTGCGTTTGAGGACATTCGATGGTTGTGTAAAACGACCCAAGATAAATGCCATTGGCTTTTGGATTTACATGCAATGTCGTTGGCTTGGCAGTATAAGTGCGTTGCATTGCCATATTCAAATTAATCAAAAACTCATGCGCATCTTGTTGTTTATTCGAATCAAAATTATTTTGGCGATAAAATATGTCCTTTATACGTTTTACCAATTGCTTTGGTTTACATGCTTTTGTTACATTTTGTGGTGCCTTCCGTGTAGCCAAATAGATTCTATGAACTATGCACACAAAACAATCGCATTCTGGTACATGATTAACCACATCCGCTTTGATCGCATTGATGAATGTTTTGAGATAGAATAGAGCTTGGAGTTTGGCATTAATGTAACACTTATTGTTGTCAATGTTTATTAATCCATAGCCAATTGAATCAACTCGACGTAATTCGGCAGTAATGATTGCATATTGAACAGTTTCGAATGGTGTCTTTGACTTACGATTATAACCATTGGTGGCAGTGGTCACAGCAAGCTGATCCAATATTGTACGCAATGTCCAATTTTCCATTTCTTTAAAACGATTAATCATTATAATAATAATAATAACTGCACCGAACAGCGTTCCTTCGCCTTGGTGGTTTATTGAAAATAATTTAATTAAATATATATAATATAATACAATTTGATTTTTATCAAGCATTTTTGAGAGAGAAAATGTAAAATTATTGCTCCTCTCATGTAAATAATATAAATTTCATAAATTAATTTTTCATCTGCTTAAAATTTCTATAATCCATAACAAATTTTTGTATTTATCTGCTTTGCTTTAAATAATTCTCTATTCTCAGTTTTACTGTTGATAAATTTACTTCTAAATCAATTAAATTTTTATCACTGTTTTGCAATTTTTTGGTATAAAATTCGTTGAATGTTGTAAGCATATAATTTATTGGCTCATATTTTGTGTAATCAGTTCTCCTAATTGGTAGATCAAATAGTGGTGTTGCTCTGGTATCATGTGCTGGATCGTAATATTTCATACTGTTTGAAACATAAGTTGACTTTAAATCTCCGTGAATAATTTTGAAAATAAAAGACACTTGCGCCATCTTGCGTCTCTCCTCAAGAGTAATCATTTGCAGAAATAGTAGCCTGTGTTCGTATTTTGGCAGTCTAAAATCGTTCCAGGCCATTCTCCTCAGAGCATATATTAAAAATTGTTTTTGTATTGACTCTATTCTTTTGCACATATTGTCGTAGTGTGGATTCCATATTTCAGATCCATACTCAATAATCGGTAATATAAATGTAAAGTAAAGGCGTTTTAAAGTCCATGGGTCGACAAAATCCCTGCTGTTGAATTTTAACCAAGCCAATCTTGATTTTGCCTTTGCAACAACATGCTCGATGTGTGATTTGAAATTCATCTTCACATCAAGCAATACTCCCAAGTCCTTTATTACCTCTACTCTTTCAATTTGCACGCCATCTATGTTGTAATTATATTCATATTTCAGTGATCCACGATGATATGATATTATTTTTGTTTTGTTAACGTTCAACTTTAATAAATTGCGCTCATAGTAATTTGCCACACGATCCAAATCCTCTTGAAGATGAATGCAGTCATCTTCTGATTTTATACATTTTGAAATCTTGGTATCATCAGCGAATGAAAGGATGCAAGATTTGGTCACGACGAAAGGTAGATCTATCACAAACATGATGAACAAAGTTGCGCCAATGGGATAACCTTGACCAGTACCAGAAGTTACTTCAATTGGGTCAGATTTGGTATCTGCTATCTTGACTATTTGTCTGCGTCCAGACAAATACGATTCGATCCATTTTAACAGCTGTGTATTCAATCCCATGATGTTTAGCTTTTGAATTAGTAATTTGATATTCACAGAATCAAAAGCCTTTGCGATGTCCAAATATATGGTGTCTGTTTGATGTCCCTTTCCCATGTTGATTATCGTATTCGATGTAAATTCTGCCAAGTTCGTTATCGTTGACCTATTTTTGATGAACCCATGCTGACTTTCGTGTACTATGTTCTTTAGATATTGATTGAGATGGTTCGTGACGATCGAATCTAGAATTTTTGACACTATACACTGAAGAGCGACACCACGGTAATTTTGAACGTTGTTTCTGTCACCGTTTTTGTAAACCGGTCTGACAAAAGACGTTCTCCAAATCTGTGGTACAGTGTATGTTTCAAGAGATTCTCTTAACAATGTTGTGATTGGCCCCCGCAATGAAACCAAACAATGCTTGATAAATTTATTTGGTATTTCATCGGGACCACTGACTAGATCATCCGGAAGCATGTCAATTTGTTGTCCAACAAGCTCTTCAGTTATTTCAATCGGTGATATTTCAGCACAAATGTTGCTAATATTTTCAAACTCCGAGCTATCCAATTGTAGATTTCCCCTCAAAGAGCTGTAGGCTGAAGCAAAATGCTTTGCAAAGAAACCAGCGATCGTAGACTGGTCTTCTGCCCTCATATCCAGATAAGACATTTCATGAGGCAGATCATCACTTTTCCCTTTTTTGTAATTCACATGTCTGAAAAATTTCTTTGGATCATTGTCTATCAGATTCTCCATCTCAATTCTGTAATCATTGAGTGCAGACCGTGCACTGCGTTTATATTCTCTTCTTAATTGTTTAAAATCTTCTACTGATTCAATTGTTTTGACCATATTTTTAATCCGATGAGCTTTGCTGACTTTGTTTTTCAACTCGATTAGTGGCCTATTAAACCATATCGGTTGCTTCCTGATGATTTTTGTTTTCAACTGGACATGATTTTCGATTGTTGACTTTATAATTGTATAGAAATTGTTTAGTTTTATTTCTAATGAATTTGTATCGAATTCCTTAATCCAGTTTACATCTAGAAGTGACTCATTTATTTGTTTATAGTCAGCATTTATGTAATCTCTATATGTTTGCTTAATTTCAACTGTTTTGATGACAGGCTCATTATATTTGATTTCGATTGCATTGTGGTGCTTCTCAAAATTCAATAAATGAAAGTCACTCATTGTGCATTGAAACAGCTCAACATCATTTGTCCAGATCAAATCAAGCATACGACCATTTTGGTTGTAGCATTTGTTTATCTGAAGAAGACCAAGATCGTAGCAAGTATCCAGCACTATCTTCTCTTTTTCACTGGCCGCATTGATAGCAATTGCTATGTCCGGGTCCTCATTATCGTCAACAAACCAAATCAATTTGGGCAAATTAAAATCACCGGAAACTACTAAAACATCATTTATACTTAACTTCGATGTAATTACTCTCAATGCATTCATGTTATTTTCATATACCTTGAGTGTTGAGTCTGGCCGAATATATAATTCTACCAAAATGATATTTCGTTTTAGTCCAGATACTTTTACCCAAATCTGTTCCGCACCGAACAGGTCACCCGTCCCAATGCAAACCGACTTCAGCTTGTTGTTAACAGCGATCAAAACTCCTCCTCCATTCTCCTTGCGATGAACTTGGTCCCTCTCAGTGTTTGGTGACCGATCACAACGATATACATCGTACATCTGTGGAAACAAGTCATTCGAATTGATGGCGTCATTCAGATGAGTCTCTCGCAGCATGTAAATTTGCGAATGGTGCACTAGAATTTCAGCCACAAACTCCGGAATTTTTGTTTTTAATCCATTTACATTTTGTGAATGGATAACCAGCTGTTTTGAATATTTTTCATCATTAAAATTGTGTGTAGTACTCATTTCTCCCTTTGGAGAACATATACAGTAATTATTTAAATTACCTGAGTGACCACTCTCCATTTCCATCGATGAAAAATTAATAGCTGAGTTTGTTGTGGCATCTAATAGTGGTTTCTGGATTGCCAGCGTTGAGCCGGCGGCCGAAGTCCCCTCCGAACACGTTGAAAATCCTTAAAACCATTTTCGAATTCAATAAAACAAGAGCGGCAATCACAATCATCAAAATGCGGACTAGCTCTCGGCAAATCATTCTTAAAATGACGTTGGTTATTGAAACCGTCATTCCAATGGCTTCGTCGACGGTCAGTTACCCAATTTTTTCTTTGAAATGAATGGCTGAATGGATAGCTGTATGTGTGTGCATGATCATTTCTCGGTTCCTGTCGATTCTGCTGCCGATTTCTTTGTTGCTTCTGTTTTTGTTGTTGTTGCCTTTGTTGATGTGGTTGCTGTTGTTTTTTGGGAGATGTGTAGGTACTTGCATCTCTTATATCATTTGCACCAATATCAGCACCTGTACCTGCATCGCTCCCTTTTCCGTCACTTTGCTGTTGATTTTGTTCTTGTTGTTGCTGTTTTCTTATCTTCTTTTTTTTATTCTTCATTGCGCGACGACCCTCAGTTTGACACATTGAATCGACCAATTTTTTGTTTTTTGCGTCTACATATGTTTTAGGCTCTGGTTGACATTTGTTGAAATCAGCAAGCAATTGTTTTTTCAGATCTTCAAATTTATTGGTCACGATTTGTTCGATGTTTGTTTTTTTTTCGTTGTCAAATTGCTTCCGAGACCAGCATGTAAAACATGTAACTGCGAAAGGCGATTCAGCACTGAAGAGTTTTTTGAATTCATCTTCAACACGCTTGTCGCGAACATATGAAAAAGCATTTTTAGCTGGATCTGTCAATTGTAGAAGTCCAAATTTTATCAAGAAACTCCTCACAACATCATCCCATAATCTCATGCATGCCACATATATCTTTTTTTCACAAATCATGCAGTTCAAATGCAGACCAGAATAGCGTAATCCGTCACAACCATTTTCAACACAGCAATGCAATTTACTCATGTTGTACCGTCAATTACACTAACAACAATGATGAGACACTTTTTCGTTCGTTTTCTTCCTCTTCTTTTCTTTAATTTACTTCAAATCACTTAAACTTGATGTTTTTCTTGTACACAATTCAATAATAATTCTTTCAATAATTTTTCCTGTTTTTTTTAATGTGATTTCGATTAAAATTAAGCAAAATTAAAGTATCCAAATAGAGAGCGAAGAAAAAAAAAAAAAAAAACATGCAGACGTGACCGGTGCAAATCTTCCAATGTTGTAACATTATTCGGTTGTTGTTGTGACATTGTTGCCAGGGGAACGACTTAGATCACGGCCACTATGTGACGTTGGTATCAAAGAACAGTGGCAACGATGATGATCCAACGAATAAATCATTTTACCTATTCAATGATAAACAATTGTCGCTTATTAAAAATACCGAAAGAATTGTCCGTGATGCGTATGTTTTATTTTATGAACGAATTGAATGTACCAATGATGGCCAAACACAAGCAATACCATCAAATGTGAATCAAGTGCCACTGAATGCACCAAATGCCAATCCACAGCCATCCACATCGACATCGGCAGTGGCAGCCGCATGAACATCAGCAGCTACAACGACAACGACAACGACAAAAAAGCCATTGAAACGCCAAAACGAAATGAGAGCAAAACGAGGTGAAACAACAACAGCGGAAATTAAGAAAAAATCCACTTTTATTTCGTACTCAACAACACTGTATCAAATGCAATCGATTGTATTCAAGAAATTCATCGAAAAAAGTAGCAAATTTATTTTAAAAAATAATAACGGTACCTGATTCTGGTGCTTGACTTTGAGCTTTTGTTGGAACCACACCACTTGGTGCATTACTGATGGCATCTATTCGTGATCTTTTTGCAGCTGGCGAATGACTCGGCGAACGACTCTGCACTGTACTTTGCTGTGACAAACGAACGGAAAAAACACCCCAAGAAAATGCGAGCGTTCGATGCTAAAAAAAAAATTTGTGTTGTCAGTACACTTAAAACAAAACTTTTTTGTCGATTTTTACCGAATAATAAATGTTTAAAAATCAAATTGTATCGAAAGATCAAGAAGAGAAAATATTATATGCGTCCGATCACTTCAAATGTTGTTCAATCAATGTCTGAGTCTGATGCGTATTTCACTTTGCTATGGCTACTAGTACTGTATGTCTAATTTCATGTTTGCACATGTACAAAGCCGGTAACGGTATGTTGTTTTGTTCGAACGTATTGTTAGCACTATTGCGTAGTACTGCAACAAATTGATCACAATTAAATTCATATATCACTTTGAATATCAACAAAATTATGACAAATTTAATATTTTTAATTATTCATACCTTTTAGTTCGTGTTGCTACAGAATTTGAATTTAATTTTGACTTTTTTCCCGTTAAATTCATGCGCAATTCGAAAATTGATCTCCCGTTTCAAATTGGCTTTGACCAATTTCAATCACTGTATTTTTCTGTGACAAACGAATGGAAAAAAACTTCAGGAAATGCGAGTGTTCGATGCTAAAAAAATTTGTGTTGTGAGCACACTTTTAAAAAAAAATTTGTGTCGATGATTTTGACTGAATAATAAATGTTTTAAAACTAAACTATATCAACGGATTAAGAAGACAAAATATTGTTTGCTTCCGATCACTTCGATTGCTGTTCAATGTCTGCGGCTGATGCGTATTTCACTTTGCAATGGCTACTAGCACTGTATAGTTCTATTTTCATGTTTGCACATGCCGAAAGCCGGTAACGGTATGTTGTTTTACTCAATCTAGAAAACAATCGAACGTATTGTTAGCATTAGTGACAGCATTCGTTGTGCCTTGGTGTGTGTGTGTGTGATGCCATTTCATTTGATAAAATTTCAATCCTTTTGCGACAAACTGTAAACATCTTGTTTTCAACTGGCTGGCTAAAATAATATACATACAAATTTATCAAACACCATAACCGCTGCAGTATTCAAATCAACCCTGACTTGCGTCATATGGGCTTCTGTGTTATTGTGCCGAACTCCGCTCAACGTGGCGCCATCTCTTTACACGAAGTTGAAGTAATAAAAGTTTTTGTGTATTTCTTAAGTTTGAGAGAAATCGCATATTCACATACATATTTAGTTGCGTTGAATTGTAATTTAATAACTGGTAATAAAAAATGTCAACGAAATCAAAGAGAAGAATTATAGAAGTCACAACAGTTATTATATACATATTTATGGTTTACTGCCGCCAATCCACGTCATATGAAACGCCTTTTTATTCGGTCTTCTCTTCATTACAAAAAAATTAAATAAAAATATACACACAGCGTAGAGCAATATTTCTTTCGACTTGAAATTTCGTAGCATTTAAAATTTGATTGCAAATTTCACTTAAAATTAATCGAGCACACTTAGCAATTTTTTTGATGAAAAAAATTTAATTTAATATGAAATCTCAAAACATAGCATCATACAAAATGACAATTTGTTTACATGCTCATCGTTGACAGCCGGTATATGCGATGACATAAACCAAAGTGAAATGCCCATGTATTTTTGCGAATAACATTGCTCTCATTGAATCACATGTTCAAAATTCTTAACGTTGATTCGTTCGCTTATGCGCACTGTGTATGTATGTAGAGACGCTCAATGTGAGCGATCAATATTGTTCAAATACATGTGCACTTCATTTCGGTTTTTGTCATTCTAATACTGTTCGTGTAGAAAAAAGTTCGTGTGAGTGACAACATTGATTGTTGTCATTCCACTGTTTTCTCTCTCTTTGTTTTTAGTTTATTTTATTTTATTCTATTGTATTTTAAATTCAATATCATTTTAAAAATTATTTATTACTTAAATGTTTTTAAAAAAAAAATGAACAATTTATTAAATTACAATTCAACGCAATTCAATGTGCGGTTTATCTCAAACTTGAGAAATACACAAAAAAATCTATTACTTAGACTTCGTGTAAAGAGATGGCGCCAGTAGTAGAGCTTTTGTCAAAAAGTCAAATGTAAGTAGGAGTTGATTCAAATCTACTCACCAAAATCTCTCTCTCTCTCCCTCTCTCTCTCTCCCTCTCTCTCTCTCCCTCTCTTTGTGTGTGTGTTACTGTTCTCGTATGTTCGTACATTCGCTGCCCAATGTAATGTCGCTGTGGCGTTGCTTTGATGCTGCTGTGTGAACACCCCGGCTCATCTCTCTACTACACAACAAATCAAAAATATTCGTCAGCAATTTGTTTTTTCCAATGTGTGTGCGTTTGTGTGCGGTCAAAACTTTATAGTTTCTTACATTCCCAATGGTTCCTCAACTCACTCACTCACTTACTCATGCATTCATTCGGCCAGACAAACACACACAAACACACACACTCTGTGTTTCTATCTCACATACATTTCTGTTTCCATCATAATCATCGTCGCATCGACATTGTCATTTGAAAAATCTATTATAGAATTAATGTGAATGACGATAATGGAACAGAATCGAAGGAATGCATCAGGAATTGTAGAGTAATGAAATACATATAGTACATACACAACGTAGTTTGTCGACAGACTGAATTCGATGGCCATAGATTGGCATTGAATCGATCCGCTTCCTTAATTTCTTCATCATCTTTTTCCCCTTTGATTGCCCATTGATTTACCAAAATCAATTCGACATGCATTCCAAGTCAAATTCTCCGACAGTGCTAGCGGCCTATAAATAATACACAAATCAATCAATCGCGCTGTAAAATGATGCATTGAACACTGCTGTACTTACGGTTGAAAGATCTCACCGTAGGTGATGCCATGAATAACATAATCAATGGCTGATTCCACCGAAATATCCATGGATTGTGCCATTTTTATTATTCAAATATGAAAACAACGGTTTTACTATTCACATAAGGAATAAAAATTGTCAATTGTCTGTTACCGCACCTAACCAAACTATCACGGTTCATACATTGCGGTTATTCTTTTGTAACGATTTAATTTATTTGGAAAAAGCAATATAATGGACTTTTTTGCAAATGAAATGATTTACTTTGATGAAAAATAAGCACCAAGAAAAAATGACATTCTTTTGATTTTTTTGCAATAAAAAAATACTGAAATCTGTTGATGTTGCCCGAACCGTTTTCGGAAAATGACATATAAATAAACATAATGTTGACAGATGCCGCCATTTATAAGGTACAGTCGAGACGAAAGTCGCTCACAACACACAATTCACATTTCAGTTAACTGTTGTTTCACTCTCTTATTGCACTGTTCAGTATTTGTGCACATTTTTTTTTTGTTTTGTTTTGTTTTGTCAATTGAAGTAATTTGTTATTTTTCACATTTTCGTCATTTTTTCGTCCAAATTTTTCCACCGACCAAATCAAATACCTGAAAATCTGAATTAATTCATGTGCGTAGTTTCTATATGGAAATCTGTTGATTCGGATTAAAGTGCGAACATTTTATTTCACCATCGTTGTGACAAGTGCATGCAGTGACCTGTGTTTATGTCAAACATCGTTTGATTTCAAAGCAATTGCATTTGATGGTCATTTCGTTTTACATTTATTGTTTACGATGGCATTCACGTCGATATCTAACTACGATCCAGCTGCGAAAAGGCAATTTATGTATTTGCCGTTGGATATTTTTCGGCAAAGTACAAATATTGCATCACTTGTCCGTGAGAAATACAAGCAGGACAAACGTAAAAATCCACCAAAATTTATTTTGACCAAAGAATGTGAAAAATATCATCGTCTGCTGAACCAATTGGACGATTGGGATGGCACTATTTTGACACGACTCGAATACGTTTGGCCACATTCCGAAGTGAAAATGTAAGTTGTTATACGCATTGGATGTATCGTGTGCTATTGCTTATCTTGTTTTTGCGCTATTTTGTGCAGAAATGCAGCGATTTGGTCTCTATCAAAACAAGAACAGGATAAAATACATGGCTTTTCAACTGATCGCCAAAAACAATTCATTTATTTGCCGATGCATATCTTTCGCGACGAGACTAACGTACAAGACCTGATAATAAAGTCAGAACAAAAGCCCGGAATACACATTAGTAGAAGTATGCTTAAGCAACGCATCGTTCAGATTCATCAAAACTTGGCTGATATCCAATCATGGCCAGATTATTTGGACAATTTAAAATTTCGCTGTGATGATATCGAAGATGCAGTTGAAGATGCTATCGAAGCAACCGAATCGTCTGAATCAAGTCGTCGATCAAGTACTACTTCAACCATGAGCGTCGATAGCATTCAAGCGAATGTCAGTAAATTTTTGCGCAAACGCAAGGTAATTCAAGAGCAATGAATGCAAAGACATTTCGATTTGATTCAACCGTATTTTCTAGGGCAATGCTGGTCAATCAGAAAATGACTCCGCATCAGAACCCATTGAAGTTCCTGCCAAGAAAGCAAGAGGAAATCTCAATCGGATGAATCCGATCAATCAAAATGCTGTTACATCAAAACAAAATACTGGTCAAGGAATTAAAAAGAAGCCAGAACAGTCTAATCTTGATGTCAATAAAAGGACTGAACAGCATGTTCAAGTCATGGCAGTAAGTGGACGAACTGATATAAATTTTCTTCATCAAATTGAAATCATTCGATATCGAAATTACATTTTCATATTTTATATTGTTTCACAGACAACAAGCCATTCTCAAGCTCATGCTTTGGAGGAACCAGCGGTTCACAATAAGGAGATTCAATGCATGAAGAACAAACAAATTCGACCGAAAATGGTATTGAAACTTGATGATATTTCCGAGTCGAATGTTGAACAGGAAATACCGTCTGACGAAGGAATCGACAAACAGATCGAAGGTAAAGTCAATTCAATAAAGTATTTCTCGGTTCCTTATGGAAAATGGCGTTCGGTTTTAAAATGTTTTTGAATTATTGTTTTACGTAGAAATGTTTGCTACAATCGAAACCGAAGATCCAGAAGTCGATCAAGCTCAGAAGAGTGTTGAATGTGATTGTGAACGATGCAAACGAGATGTTTTGGACTTTTCAACACAGACTGAGGAAGCAGCAGTTCAAAATAAAGAGGTTCAATGCACGGAGAACAAAAAAAGTCAACCGATTGTATTGACTCTCATTGATGTTACTGAATTGAATGTTTTTGAAGTTCGATGTGTCTCGCCCGAACAAGAATTACTGTGTGACGATGATATCGACAGACAGATGGAAGGTAAAGTCAAATCAATGGAGTGTTTTTCACCTCTTTATCGAAAATGACGTTCGGTTTTCAAATATTTTTGAATTATTGTTTTGCGTAGAAATGTTTGGTACAATGCAAACCGAAGATCCACAAGTCAAAGAAAAGGGTATCGATCAAGCTCAGAAGCATGTTGAATGTCATTGCAAACGAGATGTTTTGGACTTTTCAACGCAAACTGAAGCAGCAGTTCAAAATAAAATGATTCAATGCACGGAGATCAACAAAAGTCAACCGATTGTATTGACTTTCAGTGATATTACTGAATTGAATGTTTTTGAATTTCGATGTGTCTCGCCCGAACAAGATTTACCATGTGACGAACGAATCGAAGGTAAAGTAAATTCAATGAAGTGTTTCTCACCTCTTTATCTAGAAAGTCATTCAGTTTTCAATTATTTTTAAAACATCGTCGGCATAGAAATGGTGCCACGTCAAATGGTTGTTTCAACGCAAACCGAAGATCCACAAATCGAAGAGACGGTTATTGATCAAGCTCAGAAGAGTGTTGAATGTCATTGCAAACGGAATGTTTTCGACTTTTCAACGCAGACTGAGGAAATAGCAGTTCAAAATAAGGGCATTCAGTGCATGGAACAAGATTTACCGCGTGACGAACAAATCAATGAACAGATCGAAGGTAAAGTAAATTTGATGGAGTAATTTTCACCTTTTTCTCGAAAAATTCGTTCAGTTTTCATTTTATTTTTTGAATTATTGTATTGCATAGAAATGGTTCCACGTCAAATGGTTGCTTCAACGCAAACCGAAGATCCAAGAGTCAAAGACAAGGCAGTGCAGTGCACTGTTAGTTCGGTACAAGAGTCACATAGTGACCGGCAAACTACAGTTCAAACGCGGGAACAAATACAACAACGATCGGTGCGTTATTTTGCTGACTTGAAAAAAAAATCGAAGAAGTTTTTAAAAACATATGTATTTTTATTTTAAAGGCCAATACAATCATAAGACGTCGCATATATTCATATCTAAGTGAGATCAACAGAATTTTTCCGGACCAAATGACGAGAAGAATGGAATTGTTGAACGAAATTCAGCGCTTATTGAACCAAGGCACCAAATAAGCATCATCACAACTCAGTTTTTCCTATGCGGCCAAATCCACTGTCAAGCACACATATATCACATTCACAATCCTAGTCCAATGTCTAACTAATGCTAATGTTTTTATTGTTGTATGAAAGTAAAAATGTGAAAATAAGTTTCATCTAAAATAGTCAATCATTTCGAAATCGTCAAAAGAGATATAACAAAACAATGTATTATTTAAAAGAAATTTTAAAATTACATTTCAATAATAAATATTTAAAATCTGCGCCGTGACAGCACATCGTACAACAGATGTATATCTCAATATGTCATTTGTGTAAGTGAATACAATTTCAATACAGCTTTGAATTGTCAACTATTAGCCAATAATCGACTTAATTACTCACATATTTCAATCTGATGATTCCGTATATTCTCGATTGTTTGGCAAAAAGTAAACCATCTAAATACACTCCAAGTAATGAACTACAAGCATTTCAACTTCGAGTTTGAAATTCAAAACATTCAAAATGCTAATAAAGATAAAATTCATTCATTTAAATAAATTTGATTTGGTATCGATAATTTTCAATCAGAATGCGATTTAGATGACGTCACACAATGGGACCCAGAAATTGAAAACGATGACAGTCAAGACGTTGAAGTCATTCTCAACAAAATATTCAATGAATGTACGTTAAAATGTGCACAAAAATACCTAAATAAATAAAGTTCCTAAATTTATTCATGTATTTGGTCGAAAATGGCCTAAAATATAGATTTTTTCACAAAAAAAACTAAAACACATCACTATTTTTTGTACAATTATAATGAAATAATTTTTTATTGAGGGATACTATAACTGAGTATTGTGTTTCCTTAGTTTTGTACAATACGATTGTGCTTAGCAATTACATTACGAATTGTTATTTCGTATAAATTGGTCAGTATAAAAGTAAATAAAGTTGATTGAATCATATTCCAATAAAATGATTATAAAAGATTGTTGTAGTTTTACTTCATATTCTGAAGCTCCATGTTTATTGATATTCAGTCGAGTTGCTGTTCATCAAGTCGACGAGTTGCTGTTTGGATTGAATGACAACCCCGTTATCCATTTCATTCCGTTTAATGAGGACGCCATCGTAGCATATATCAAATGAGTAAAGATCGCGTTGTTTTTGATATTTTGTTGCAGCAATACAGATATCAGTATAAAATTTTGTCATTTGATGACGAATGTTAATTTTTCTGGGCTCCTGGCCCATATCCAAGTCAACCAATTCATTTGAATAAATACATTTGTTATTTATTTCGCGAATAATTGACTTTTTTAAATCGTTGAACCGCAATTTTACTATCAATCCAATCGATTTGCACATGTAAATTTCCTTTATATCGTCGCGATTAGCAGTTATATCAAGTTTTTGACATAGATTAAGAAAAATATCGTGCAAATCAATGTCCTTTGATTGATGTTGGATGCCACCTATATAGATATTATTGGCCAATTTTCGTTGCTCGTGCAATTCAGCAATCGACGATGAATCTGTTGGTAAACCATCCATTTCTGTTGTTCGTCGTTCACCAGAAGTCCCATTCATCTCAGTTCGGTCGACACGTTTTCTTGCCAAATCCACATATTCGTCAATATATGTCATGACCGGTTTGCTGTAATCGTATTCGGTGTCGAGCACATTACAATTTTGCAAAATCAAACCATTTTCGAAGACCATATTTGTGGTGAGGTTTTGTTCTTTTAACCATGTGGAAAAAGTGGCGCAATGGTAACTTAGACTATTGATACGGTGTACATTTTTTTCGTGTAAGATTAACTGCACGAGATCCATTGATTGAAAAGCACATTGTTCACACTTAAAATCATAGACATGTACCTTGAAATGGTTCAAATAAAGGTTGCGTTCAACGATTTTCTCACAAAAGCCACAAATCAAATACGACGGCATATTGCGACAACCCGAAATAGTTTCTGCTTTGAAGCCAAGGTGCGATGCGGTGTAATGTTCAGTTAATTCAGTTTGATTGGCAAATGTTTCAATGCAAAATATGCATCGTGGTTCTTTGTACACATTAATTGTTAGCAGTTCTTCGATTCGATTTTTTTCGTAATGGACTGGATTGAAGAAGTTCGATGTTTTCGAATGAAAGTTACGAAAATGTTTGATTAAATCACCGTCTTCGAAATAACAAATGCCACATTTGTTGAAATTTAATCGGTCGACAATCGCAAATTGTTCGTCTTTATGTTGGTCCTTATGATGCTTTACCAAATCCTGGTACGTACCAACTTCATTGCAATGGTAACAATTGCACAACGCGAATGCATAAAATTTAAACGGCTCTGAATACGATCCACTTTCATGACTGACCATCCAATGTTTGTACACATCGTCAATGGTGCCGCTGTACGATTTGTCGGTGTCATTTGGATCCAAACACTGTATACAATAGAAAATTGTACACTTCATGTGTGATTGATTGACATTGTAGTCTACACATAAAACAGTAATTATTACTAATTTGAATGATTTTATAATATAGCAATGTGTAATCAGCAGCTTACCAGTAGAGTAAGCAGTAGCTGCATTCGCGTTGATCGTTTTCAGCTTTTTCGGCTGTTCCAAATCTTCTTCAACAATGACAAATTCTTTCGATTTTCGTTTCGAATTTTTCGGGACCTCTGGCGAATCGGTCAAATCAATGAAATGTGCATTTGTTTTTGTAGTTACTGGACTTGGTGTTCCACGTGATGTGTTTGACCTTACATCAACCTCATAGCATATGCATGTCTGGGTCAAACTGTTTGAATTATATATCAAATTCTTAGAACAGACCCTTTCTCTCTTATATAGTCTCTATACTTACCGATTAATTGACACCTTCAGAAAATCGCTTATAAACTCCTTGTCCACTTTTAAACCAGATTTTTGGAAGCTATCCAGTGCAGCAATCGTTTCTTGTTCGACTCTCATCAAATGTTCGTCCATTTTGGTCTTAGTAACACTTTCATCCATTGTTACTGAAAAAGTTTGCGCATCAAAATAAGACGTAATTAAAAAAAAAACAATGAGAACCCAACAACAAATATGACAAATGATATTAATTCATTCAATTCAGGGTACTGAGTTTAGTTGATAATAATAACTATTGAATACATACCTTTTCAAGCTCTAAATAAAAATAAAAATAAATTTTTGGTACAAACCAAAATTTAGTGTGTCGCCGTATTCATTGATCTGTCAAATATGTTCGTCCGTTTGATTGCGTGAAATACATAAAATGCAAAACGTTATTATTACACTCAAACACACTAACACACAATCGGTTCGCTTGAAAATACGCCAATGTGTGTTTATGCTTGACTCTTGTCGTTTGTTTTCGTTGTTTATACAGTGATGCCACAACATCAACCATTTTATTGATGTGACCGATATTTGAAATCAGGAAACTGTTTTTACCATTCAAATTCTATTTGCATTGAAAAAATGTAGAACGCTCTTGCATGCTATATATAAATTGAATTCATTGTTTAAATGAAAGAGGTTTCAATTAAAAATCCACTTTTTTTTAAATAAGTCATAACAATTTTATTTATCAATGTTTTGTATAAAAAATAAAGTTTGTTCGAATGGGACAAATGATGACAATGACTTTTCTGTAAATTAAGACTAAACATCTTTAATATAGTTTCGCAGTTGTTGTATTGACAATATAGGACGTCCACGCTCAGTGGGTTTGCATTTAACCATGAAACCATTCATGTCCATCCAAAATGAATGGATTTTATTTTCGTGTTTTAGTTTCGATGCAAATCTATCAATGTTTCGATAAAATGGGGTCAAATGATGGCGAACAACAATTTTCCACTTTTTTTTATTGTCAGACATCTTAAACACTTCATTCGACCAGATAGTTTGCTTTTGACTGCGATTCAAAAAATCGTTCTTTGCTCCAAGTTTGAAGAATTCAACAACCATTCCGTCTTGATCGTGCATCTCAATTTGTTTGACATCTTCCATCGTTATGTTCAGCTGTAATGTTTGACACAGCGTCAAAAATATTTTCTCCTTATCAATGTTCCGTACACTACCGAAAATACCGCCGATGTATAAACTTTTGTCCAATTTTAATTGTTTGAGCAATTCAGAAAGCATGGTATTTTCATCCGGTGCCTTATCATCATTCCGATGTAGTGTTGCTGGATTTTTCACTTTTATCATTTGTTTGAGGCTGTCCTTTTTTCCGTTCAAATAGTCTTTGATGAATTCATTCAGTGTTTTGCTATCATCGAGTTTGGTGCCAAGTGCATTGTGAACTTTCAACACAAGACCATTTGTAAATACCATTTTTGCATTAAGAAACTTATTTCTCAACCAATTTGGAAAATTTCCGCAATGCTTTTGCATATTGTCGACACCATGTAAACTTCTTTCATGGAATACTAATTCAGCTACATCGTCTGATTCGTGTTTACATTTCGAGCACCGAAATGAGTATGGATGTTCCAAAAAATGACTGAAATACGCATCGCCATCAATTTTTTTCTCACAAAAACCACAATATAAATAGGACAGCTCTGTTTGATGGCTTTGCGTGTCGATAATTTTGCCATCGTGTGAAACTGAACGATGATTTACAAGTTCGTTGCATGTTTTAAATCTTTGATCACAATCAATGCAATGACATTCCTTTTCAATATTTATTGCCATGAGTTGAGTTATTCTTTCTTCCGAATATGAAATCGGATTGAATGCAATCGGTGGATAAATCACTTTGTGAATGGCATTGAAATGTTTGACCACATCACCATATTCGAAATGACAAATGCCACACTTGTTTTTATTTATGCGATCGGTGATTACAAAATATGTTGATTTATGCTGCTCCTTGTGATGATTTTCCAAATCACGATAGGTGCCAATTTTATCGCAGTTAAAACATCTTGCCAATCCAACAGCTTGGAAGTGGAACGGTTTGGAAATTGTTTCGTCCAGGTGAGTTGTGAACCAATGCTCGTATACTTCATCAATCGAACCGCTGAATAATTTGGTGCATCCATTTGGATGTAAACAATGGTCGCAATAGAATACGGTGAAATCATCAGCACCTACGTAAATTAAGAGATGACATTATTTATCGATATTGATGGCATATTAACACAAGAAGATTGAGCATTGAGAGTATGTTAATGTTATTAAATTTTCATAGCAGTAACCTGTGCCAATCGATGGCATTACTTTCAGCTTCTTTGGGTCTTCCACATTATCATAGCTTTCGTCTGATTTACGTTTCATCGATTTGATTGTTGATACTTCTGTGTGTGATGCCATCGAACTCATTGTTTTTCCATTTGGAACTTCATTTGATGTTTCCAATTTTCCTTCAGATTGATAGCGTTTACAGGTTTTTTCCATTCTGAAAAATTCAATTCTGATAAAATAAATTTGATTAAATTTGATTATGTGTTAAACTTGCCGATCAATGGAGACTTTCAAAAAATGCTTCATAAACATTTTATCTACGTTGAAACCAAATTGTTTGAAATTATTCAATGTCGCATTTGTTTCCTGTTGAATTTTTGATAGATGTTCATCTATAAGAGACTTCTTGGTTGGATTCATTTTTTCATAATTTCTATGGGAAATATGATTGGTTTAAAATTGATGGCGACGAAGTCGTGACAGCGGCAGTGTTTATTCGATTTTGCGCGCAAGCATTTATTTGGAGCTGTGTTGACGTTTAGCGCTCTCTTCGCAGGCATCTCGCGCGAATCAGTGTTACCACAATACAAAATTTGAAATAAAATTGTTTTCTGAACCAAAATAATTCTAAATTGAATTGCTGCAATTGAAATTATAGTAAAATTATTAATAAAAAAATAATTAAAAATATTAAACATATGAATAACATTTGCTCTCAATTTAATTTAATTATTTTTCACACACAATTAATGTTGTTGGCTGCGAACGTTATGTATGAGTAACATAAATATTAAAAAATAATATAATAAATAAATAAAAAGCGTAAAAACGATATAAATTAATTGTAATCGTAAAAATAATAATAAGTAATAAAATTAATTTCACGATGGACTCAATGATCAAAAGGTGTCAAACGGATGTGCTGTACACAGATTTTGAGAAGGCCTTCGATCGTGTGAACCACAAGAAATTGTTGCAGAAGTTGGTGAACTTTGGATTCGGCCGACGACTTGTCAAATGGTTCCATGGATATTTGACAGCGCGAACACAATTTGTTGGAATCGGGGAGAGAAAGTCAAGAACTTTCACTGTGTCATCGGGAGTACCTGCGGGAAGTATCTTGGGACCATGTCTTTTTATTATTTTTATTAATGACATTGTCGAAACCGTAACAAATGCACTTGTTTTATTATTCGCAGACGATCTAAAACTGATACGAACAATACAATCGCCCATTGATGCCATTATTTTCCAAAGAGCCATTGATCAGTTGAACGACTGGTGCACTGAAAACAGCCTAAATTTGAATCTGAGGAAATGCTTCGTGATGACGTATGCAAAGGGTGGATACGCAATCGACTACGATTATACGATCAACAACGGCCAACATACGTTTGAACGAATCAGTTTGCACAAGGATCTCGGCGTTATTTTCGACACAAAACTAACGTTCATCAATCACATCGATGCGATCACAGCCAGTGCACTTGGGGCAATAGGATTCGTAAAACGCACATTAAAGAATAAGTTCACGATTGAATCGGCTAAAATGTTATATTTTGCGCTAGTCAGATCAAAGTTAGAGTACGCGAGTATAGTTTGGCAACCATACCACCGTATACACTCCGATAGAATAGAGTCAATTCAGAAAAAATTTGTGATATGGACATTAAGATTTGTTTACCAAAGAGATGAGAATTTTGTATTGCCACCGTATCAGTTTAGATGTGATGTTTTAAGTATTCAAACGCTTTGGAGACGGCGTATTAATGCCTCTATATTTTTAATTTACGATCTCTTATTAGGTAGAATAGTGTCGCGTTCGCTTAGGGATAAGATTGTATACACAAGACAGCAATATAACGTAAACCAAAGAAATTTGAGGAATACAGAACTTATTAGAGTACGGATGTTTACAGCTGAATATGCACATAGTCAACCATTTTACATGGCGTGTAGGAATTTTAATTTAATAAGAGAAACATTTTTGGAATCGGCATCGAGACACATTTTTAGAAATAGTATTGTTGAATTGGACAATTTGTTATTTAATATTCGGTAAAATAAACTAAGAAAAATTGTGTTATGAATAGTAATATACAATGGACACAGTCGATATCTGCTGCTCCGAAGTCGAAAAGATTGGCGGCTGGCATTCGATTCGGGTAGTGTTTCATTGCAAATGATATTGTAAATAATTGTGATAAAATCAGTCTGTGATCAGACGGTGAATAAATAAATAAATAAATATTTTTACCCAAAAACACAAGTATTTTATTTCTGCTTTTAGTTCTTTGTGTTGTGGTCTTACCCAAATTTTTATGTTCTTTTCTTATAAACAAAAATATATTCTTTTTTTCAAAATTAGGAAAAATATGAAGTGTTTTTTCTCTTAAACGTATATTTATGGTACAGCGAAATCAAAAGCAACCAAAATTGGGTACAAAATCGATTTTTCTTTCGGTTTTTTAAGCTTATTTAAAGTAAGTCGATAACTACAGGTAAATGTTAAATCAAAATACATTTGATGACTTTATTGATTATTTACTTCTTTAAGTAATTAAAATTTTATAATTTTCTTCCAAATTTTTACATGTTTCGAACATGTATTAAAAATTACATTTCAAGCGGATTTTCCAACAAACTCCAACAATTGTTTTTCTGAATTAACAATTTTCTCTTGGCAACCTGGGTCCCGTTGGACGACAAGCCCATTTTTGCCTAGCTTATATGAAAATAAAACTTTCTGCCTTTTCAATCCGGCTGCAACCGCATACAATGATTGATAAAATGGTGTCATATGATTGCGAATATATACTTTTCTTGATGTATGAGAATGAGTCCCCGACGATCCAAGCAAATCATTTGACCAACAATATCCACTTGTACGGATAGCCAATTTTTTTGTGTTCATTCGAAAAAATTTAACAATAAGTCCATCTTTACATTGCTCAATTTCTTCAATGCTACTCCCTGTAATACTGCTGCTCAATCTTAGTTTTCGGCATAGTTTCAAGACCGTATCGTAAAGATTTTGGACTTTAAATTCATCGGAGATTCCATGCACAAATATGTTTCGTGCCAATTTTCGTTGTTTCATCAGTTCATCGTTCACAGGCGTTCCATTTGTTTCAGTTGTAAATTGATCTGGTGATGATATTACGTCAGCCGTTGCTACATTTTTTGCGGTTTGATAAATAATTTGTTCGTCGCTATCATTCGAATTTTCATTTGGTTCATTCAGTTCAATCTTTAACTGTACATATTTTTTCTTTGTGTTCACAAACGCTTCCAAGAATATATCGAACGATTTGCTTTCGTCATATTTTGTTTCAAGCACGTTGTACATTTTTAGTGTCAATCCATTGCTGAACACCATATTCGTGTTGAAATATTTGTTTTTAATCCATCCAGGAAAAATGGAGCAATGGTAGTTCAATGAATCGATCTTGTGAATGCTGTTCTCATGGATTATTAGTTCCGAGATGTCGTCCGATTGAAACGGGCATTGTGAGCAATGGAATTCGTATGTATGCATACGAAAATGGTTCAAGAGGCTATTGCAATCGACGTTTTCATGGCAGAAGTCACATATCAAATATGCTGGTGCAGTTGAATTGTCATCATTTAGGTCATCTGCTTGACAACCGTTTGAAACGGAGTTATGATCAAGGGCTTCTACGTCAGAATTGAATATTTGACGAGATTTTTTGCATTGCTTGTGCACAGAAATCGCTAGAAGGTCGGAAATCTTTTCTTCTGAAAAGTAAATCGGATTGAAGACCTTTGGTGTCGAACTCAAATCATGCTTAAGTTTAAAATGTGTTAACAAATCGGTGTCATTGACATGACAAATACCGCATTGTTTGAGGTTTATTTGTTCGACAATCGCAAATTGTTCGTCTTCATGTTGCTCCTTGTGATGCTTCACCAAATCATAATAGCTTCCGATTTCATTACAATGGAAGCAATTGACCACAGGTATAGCATAAAATTTAAACGGAGCAGAAGGCAATTTGTTTGCATGGTGCTCAGTCAGCCAATGCTCATACACATCATTGATTGTACCTCGGCATGATTTACTGAAATTGCTTGAATCGACGCAATAAACACACACGAAATCTGTATATTTGAACTGTTCTTTGTTGACTGTGGTATCTGTATACAGAATAAAATAAATTATTTACTAAATCTTCGATTATTATTCTCAAATCTTACCGTTGCCCGTGTCATTCAAATTTGGTTCAATAAGTTTTTGCCGTTTCGGGTTGTCTTCAACGTTTTCGGCTTTACGTTTTCTTTCTCTTCCATTTGATGCATCAGTAAACTCAGTTTCAACCGCTGTTGGGGTTATTGTTGTTGTCATAGCATTCTTATGTGAATCTTTCAACTTTTCTTTGGCACTATAGGATTCACACGCTTGTTTGAAACTGTGACAAATATTATTGATTAATCGGTTGTCTAAATTGAAAGTGGATGATCAAAAATAATTTACCGATCAATTGTGTTTCCAACGAAGTGATTCACAAATGTGTCGTCAATTTTCTGTCCGATCTCTTCAAGTCGACCAAGCACAATTTTGGCTTCATGTTCAACATTCATTAAATATTCGCACATCAAAGCCTCTACTTTATCCACTTCCATTTTTGCTATCGAAATAGAAAATTGTCCCTTTTTATTGACAACGCAACGATAAACCAATGTTAACAAACATATTCAAAAACTGAATGAAGAATAAACTTTTACTACAAGTAATTTTTTATAGATGAAATAACTTTTTTCGTTCACCGTTTTATTAATTGCGTTTTAATTGTAAAGACATACCTCGGTTTTTGTCAATCACCGATCCAAATAATAGTGTTTCTTTTCAAATTTATCGTTTCTCTTATATCACGTGCTACGTTGACAATGCTTCTGTTTATGTCAAACTGTCGGCGTTTTGCTTTGCAAACATAAACATGAATCGATGTGAATTCTCAATAAATTGGTTTGCAACAACTACATCGATATCGATTGTGTATATGTTATTGGACCGACTTTGTTTATGTAAATGTGAGACTGATAAAAAACTCAAGGAATTACAGTGGTGCCACCACACATACTTTCACTTTAAAATGACACTTAAGAGAAAATATATTTGTGTTGGGAATTAAGGAAGACAATGTAAATTAAATTCGAATATTGAAAAATTTGATTGTAGTTTTTTATACTACAATGTTAATTTTAATGATCAGAAAAGTGATAAGTAATATATGGTAATTCAAAAAAAATGATTAAGAAATATATATATAAGTTTTTTCATCGAAAATTTCTCTTATTGATTAGCAAATATTGGCGCAATATGTTCAAAAATACCAATTAGTGGCCACAAATTAATACTTTAATTTTGAATTGTTCTTAATGTAATCTTGAAATTGTCTCGATGTATGAACGATTTGCCCGTCATTTCAAGTGAATATAATGTAGGTAGCCTCAATAGAAATAACAGAATAGTTCCTTCAATCTCGTGTTATCTCCTCGATCGATACGTTCGTTTTGGTGCGGAAGTAGGGCCACGAGATGTTGATGGTTCATTTTGTTCAGAAAATTGAAAAACGGACGTACTTGGCGGTGGACGTATGACGTGAGCATTTGGAATATCGGAATCACTCAATCGACTTAACCGAACTACTGGTTGATAGTTGGCATCGTTTTCAACATTAGGTCTTGTTATTGTTGTTATCGCAGCTGATGTTGCTATTGCTGATTTTCGTTTCGGCCGAGTATTTACTGATGTTGATGCTGGCCGAATGTTCTGAATGTCCAATTCACTCAATCGATTCAATTGTACTACAGAACGATAGATTCGATCTTTTTCAAATTGTTCAATCAGTTGACGCATTGGTCCACATGTGAAAGAGACCATTGTTTGTGTACCATCAGCGAATTGCACCAAATATTCAATCTATACACATTACAGTGAGAGAGAGAGAGATAAATAAATAAATTAGAAATTAATTCAATTGAAATTCGGTTTTGAAAAATTTTATCACTCACCACACCATCAATGGTAATGGCATTGATGATTCTCTTTGGCAATGGATCCCACTCTACTTCATCAATGTTTTGGAGAGTGTCCACTTCAAATTCGTGTAGGGCTATTTCAGATTTGACTTCTTCTCTGCGTACCCATACCGAATCTCTAATATCGTTGACAACAAGATACTGGACCTGAAGAAATACAAATAAAAAATGAGATAATTGAACAATTCAAATCTAGATTCAAATGCATTTACCTCGTTCAAATGAATACGCTTCGCGAAAACATTGTATGTTTCCTCCTCATCCTCCTCCTCCACCTCCTTTTCTTCATCCTCTTCTTCTAGAGAAGCTTCTTCTTCTTCACTACTGGATGAACTGACCATTTTTGTGTTGCTAAAGAAATGTGATTAAAAAAAAAAAAAATTTTCACACAAATTGTTTTTCTTATGATTACTTGTTTTGATTTTTTTTCACAAATCGGTCCACCTGTCTTCAAAATATGGTCCTTTCAAGAGAGGGGTCAAAATTCAGTTTTATAGCCATAGATGGCACTAAATGAGGTCGTCGACCCCTGAAACATCGATATTCGAATTCTAGAGCTCAATACCTTTCCAACGACCCCCTAACCGTCAAAATTTCATATGTTTTTTCTATAAAAGTATGTGGTATGTGTATGTATCTGTGCGCAATTTTGCGTACTTGTTTTTGATCTTTTTGAAACTTTCTGTAATTAAAGTACACAAAAAAGTAAGACTTTTTTGTTCCGGCACTTTTCGATATGGCCGTCATGTTGGCCGTGGCCGGCCTCTAAAAGTCACTTTTCAACTTTTTTCCCTATGGTCACCGAAGCGCCATGACTTTACACCCCCCCAGACATATGCATATCATTGGAAAGGCCTTGAAGTGAGCTATCGAATGAAGCCATTTGCGGTCCAAAATTTTCAATTTGGAATGGCCAAATTGGCCAAAAGCCAAAAAGTTACCGTTTGGCCGGACACATAATGGTCATTAGCTCGAAAACTAGCCTTTCATGGTCACTTGAAAATTTCACCGATTTTTAGGCCCAAGTCTAAGCTATAAAATGCCGCATAGCTTATATCCCTAAAAATTCTTGTCTTCACGATATGGCCTTTGATATAGTGCGAATATGGCCAAAAATGGCCAAAAATGACAAAAAATGTTACTTTTAACATTTGAAGTATTTTATGGGCCACAATGTACTCCAATGACTCTGTAAATATGCTCTGTGACTAGTCAAACAAAATTGAACAAAATATCGACCGTTTTGGATGGCTATTCCACCAAAAATCGTCCAAATGTACCAAAATTCGAATTTTCACAAAAATGTCTAGATGTATGAAATATGGAATTTTAACAACAAATAACTACATGTTTGATAGTCTCCTCGCATAAGATCGATAAAATACAGAATCTTATGTCCCCTCCCGCCAGTAGGTGGACTATCGTCGGAAGAGGTGCATGTGGTTAGTCACAAACTAAAGTAAAAGAAATCTACAAAACTGTTAGTATAAATGGCAAACTATGCAAAAGGTCATGCAAAAATGGCCATTATTTCATACGGTCGCTGTGGGACCTAGACTTGACATAACCAGGACAAAGCATATTCGTTGGAAAGGTCATAAAGTAAGCTCTCAAGTGGTGTCAATTGCGACTTAAAAATTTCAAGTTCAGGCGGCAAAATTGGCCAAAAACCAAAAATTGCACTTATAAACTTAATATACATTTGTAAATTCGGAACGTTGCTTCATTGCGTCAGTATGAACTCAAAGTAAAAAGAAGAGAATTTCTGCAACGTTTCGAATATACAAATGTATATTAAGTTTATATTCACAGTACACAGAAAATATATCTACCAACTATTTTCGTCACAAAATTGATATCAGAAATTTTGTGTTTCAAATTTTGGTTTCGTCACTCGTTCTTCACCTTGATAGAGGTTTTTTATTTGATTACAATTTACAATGAATGCCAATTGGAAAATGTCACTTGAAAAAATATTGACTATCGCAAAAGAACTGTGTCTCAATGTTGTGAATGTTGCCGGGACTTGAACGAATGACACAATCGACGCACACGCATACACAAACACAACATCAAACGATATCTGATATAGGTCACAGTTAATGCCCGCCACCGCATTGTATACAATATGCGCTAGCCGCTTAAAACGTTGCCCATTATTCCTTATAAAAATGTACAATGTATTTTCAAGAAAAACACCGCAAAATCCAAAATTATTGAATAGTCACACACAGAGAAAAACATTGAGATTTACTACTACATTTTTGAGAAACGTCAAAACACAACCACTGTTTTTCTCACTGAATAAAAGATCCTTCTATACATACGCGCAGCATAAATATTGACAATAAAAAAAATGAGTCGGAAAAAATACAGTAGTGGTTGTGGTTTGACGTTTCTCAAAAATGTAGTAGTAAATCTTAATGTTTTTCTCTCTGTGCATATATAACTTAATGAGTAAAACTAATTTAATCTAGATTTTTTTGATTTTTCAAGAACTTTGCACAAATATAAAATTTTCTCGAATACTCGTATAAATGAATTCGTCTTGCTTGTGTCACGTCAATTATCGAAATGGTACATTCAATTGACCACGAGAGAAACATGGACATGTAATGGATGAAACCGATATTGAAATCGATAATTATCAACAGAACAATTTTTGTTTATAACCATCTTAAAATGTGCCGAACAAGCAAAAATGAAATATTCGTATATAAACCAGACAATTGGTTTCAGCTATGGATATAGCTGCTGCTATTTTATAGCACCTAATCCATAGGCGCTATGCAACGCTGTGTACTCTGTGTACGTGTAGGTATGTTGTTCGTTTTCCCTTCACGTTTAGTACTTTACCATACTACTAAACGTGAAGGGTAAGCGAACACACAGTACACAATACACGCGTTGCATAGCGCCTAAGGAATAGGTGCTATGAAATAGCAGCAGCTATATCCATAGCTCAAAACTAATGTCTGATATAAACATTTATTCAAATTGATTTAAATCAGAATGACGAATAAATTAATTGCGTCGAAAAATTTTCTTTATTTTGAACGTATATGTGATGAGTAATCAATTATTTTGAAAACAATATCACATTATTTATATAAAATGAGTTTTATGAAGAAAAAAAAAATGTGCATCACTAAAATTGAAATCTCTTTTTAAAAATGAAAATTGTCAATTTCGCTTGGAAGTCAAGTGATTGTGAAATTAATTTCACAGTTTCAAAGACTACAACCAACATTTTTATGTAATATATGCACCATTATGTCATTTCCTTTCAACATTATGCTGAAATTTCAAACCGGTTCCGCTTTTCTCTTCCGAATCATTTGATTTATGATGTTCTGATTGATCTACAATGTTTTTATAATAATTGATGGAAATTCCAAAACAAAAATTCAATTGGTTGATTTGATTGCAAATACAATGCTTATCATTGAACCGTAGTATAGGAAAATAACAACAAAAAGTACAGCGCGACACAAGCAATCGCAACGAAATCATAACAAAGCTCAATAAAAAAAATGTTATAATAACTTTCACTTGGCGAGTCGTTTCATGCGATAAGTCTTCGGTTTGTTGTATTTCATGTGTTCGTCATGAGGCGCGATGTTGTAATCGATTTTGTGTGTGCAGTTTTTTGTTTCGTTAGAGTGATTGAGAGAGGTGGTGAAAAAGAGAAAACAATATAATAGAGCCGACGCCAAATAAGTCCATGAATAATTCATCGTTAAATACATATATACATATTCATTGAATCCATTTTAATCTGTACCATGATTCGGTTCTCCGAATAAACCGAACTCTATACGATTGATGTAGAAATAGAAATAAATAATCTCCATTAAAGACAGAGTTAACGATTCTTTTTGGGATTTTTGCAAGGTAACATTTCGCAAGAGTCGTATTTTCCATTGAGTATGGACATTGGTGCTGAGTGACTGCCTATGTTGACAAAAATAGCGTGAAAAATTGCATTGGATGATTGCATTTAATTCAATGAAAAAAAAAAACGACGAATAAAAACTATTGAACAGCCACCCACAGTGACATAGTTTAGTCAAAACTCTCGCGAAAAAAATCATATCTAATAATCAGATGTGGAAATAACGTCGCATTTCACCTCTGCAATTTTATTTAAAGTTACTCTTTTGAGCACTTCAACCAAATCAAGAAATGACTCATGTGAATATTAAAAAAATGTGTACGCGGCAAACAAGACAGAGTGAGAGCACACAACAAACACGCCGATGGAAGCGAGATGAAGACAAACCAAACAAATAAGATGTTTAGCAACCGACGGTCGAAACAGAAAGTAAACTTAAATTCACTTTCATTAGTGATTCAGTTACGGTATCCGCTGCACGTTTTCAACGGTTTTACACCAACTGGTGAAGTACATCATTTTTAGCTCGTTTACTCGAACGGAAACTCAAATTGCTTGAGAAGATTCAGATCTTTTCAGTTCATTCACATTGAAGACAAAAAACACTTCCATTTTCTTGCGGCAATTTTCTCTTTTTGGAACAATTTTCGCTGAAATAGTTTTTGTCAAGTTTAGTGATGGTTTTGAACTCCCATGGATAGAACTGTTTACAAATAAAAGTACTTTTGAAGTGTTAAAGTTTTGATTTGCACATAAAATTGTAACAGTTTGTTTATAAAATTTTGACAAAACTTACCTATATATTTTTTAATTTAAAGAAAATGTGTTGTTTCATATTTATTCCTCAATATGATAAATGGTTCTTTTTCTTTCATTTTCGTAAATAGTAGAAGGCAGTGTCGATGAAAAGATTTGATTTAAATTGACTACGCATAGCGAATGAGCTCGTGAAAAAAATGAGTACTTTTAATTTATTGTGGGTGATTGCACTTCTCAGCTGTAATGTGCTTGCAATGAATGCAAAACCAAAGGAGAAAATAAAATCGGAAGGGTAATCAATAAATTTTAAATATTTAAGAAAAGTGAAGCAATTTATTAAAATTGGATAAATTTACCTGAAAAGACACGAGTAAAAGTTGAAAAAAAATTAAATACGTGATATTTACCTCCTACATTTCCTTTCATTGAGATCAATAAATGTGGGTGAAATTCAAAATGCCAATTGCGCCTAAAATCAATGAACAAGTGATGAACTTTTATAAGCCATTCAATATATATGTATTATGAAAAAAAGAAGATATATGCCAATCAAATTGTTGTTTTCCATCATCATTTTTATGTTTGAATTTTAAACAAAGTGCATTATGAAATGTTTTTTTTTTTAATTTATAATCTGGAGAAATCTTCAAGACGTAATACTATTCAAAGAAATGTTTTTGCTTTATTTCGAAATTTCGTGATTTTATTGATTTTTATATAGATTAGATTTAATCTTCGTATAAATGACATCTTTTCTCTTTTTTCAATTTCTAAAAAAAACAGTCGTCAATTACAAAGTTTCTTCCCACAACAAGAGACGTCCAGTCCAAACTTTCAACCATCACCGTCTGATGTGTACTTTGTTGATGGCAATAATCAAGTGCAAGAGAAACTACAAGATACACGACCAAAACAACAATTTGTACACAATCCAAAGTTTTCGCCAAATTTGCAAACCGATTTGTATAATTCGCAGTATGGTCTCCAAAATCATCAACCACAGCAACACCATCAGCAACAACAACAACAGCAGCAGAAACAGCAACAACAACAACAATTTGAGCAACAACAACAGCTATATCACTATGCTCAACAACAGCAGCAGCAACAATATCAGCCCCAGTATACAAATCCGGAAAGGCCATTCTACCCAACACCCGACGGGAATGAAGTTAATTTTGGCGAAAATTTAGAATCTCAGTATAGTCCACAGTCACAGCAATATGTTGACAATACCAATTTTGTGTATACTGAACCGCCACAGTATCAATCTCAATCACCGTACGATGGATATTCGCAAGTAGTAACAGGCGGTTATGTAGTTGGAAGTCGACCGCAAGTGAATATTTTGCCACAGCAACGACCCAGTCATTCACTTTATAATCAAAATCAGCCCTATCAATACGGTAGCGGTGCCAGACCTGTATATCAATCACAACAGAATTACAATTTGCGGCCGCCAAGCGGCAGTGGAAATGAAGGTGGCCTTATGGGTTCGATTTTAAACTTTTTCAATAATATTGGTCAAGGTGCTACAGAAATATTTTCAGGTCGTCCGCCAATTCAAGAATATCAACCGCCCCCAAGCGTAAGTGCTGGCCTTGCGAATCGGCCACCAAATCCGTATAATCAACAATTCGGCACGCCGGAAAGTCAGCAGTATGCAAATCCAATATTGGGTGGAAATCCCACCAATCCGGTGAATCAATTTTCGAAAGCAATCGAAGAAATCACACGTAACGATGATTATCAATGCATACCGAAAGTGATTTGGTATGAACTTTTCGATTTTGATTAAAAGAAAAAAAGTAATAAAACATGTTGTTTTTTTGTTTTTAGTCAAATGGTAGGCAGTCAACGGAGACAACCTTCGATTTTGAGTTCTCCCATTTTTACAGCGTAAGTTCATGTTTATTTTCAAATGAATTGATTTTAATTCAAGCGGACGATTTAAAATTTCAAAATTAACTATTTAATTTCAGAATTATTTCCGCTGTTCCGAGTACATCAGGTTAATATTTTTGATTTATTTATAAAATTATCCCATAATGGATTGAAATAAACCCAACTTTTTTCCTTCATCAGCTGGTTTGGTTTATGGTCGTGCTGCCTTGCTTGGATTGATTTCTGGCGAACAAAATTGTCACACGGCCTATCCAAGGTGTCCACGAAACGAAGACGATTTACTGTACTATTTGAATAACCATCGAGGTGGATTTTTCCGATTTTTCAATGGTGGAGCCGCATTCGGTGACGAACAAAATTATCAACATAATCCAAATCAATATCAAACTCCCTCAGCTTCGAATCAATACTATCAGCAAAATCACCAGACTCCTTCACCGCCCCATTATAATCAGCCATCTGACGAGAGTTCACTTCAATCGAATCTGGGCGCTCTTCAAAGTATTGCCGACGCTATAAATAATAGTGGTGGAATTAATTTAAGTAACTTAGGTGCGAATGCAAATCTTTTCAGTGGCCTAGCTGGTTTGTTGAATGGAGGTGGTTCAAGTTCAAATTCACAAGGTGGTTTTGATTTAAGTACATTGACCTCAAATGCGGGGTTGTTAAGCAATTTCGCAAGTTTAGTTGGTAGTACAGCTCAACCAGCAAAACCATCAAAAGCACCACCAGACGATCAAGGTCAAAGTTTAACTGAATTAGTTGGAAATTTATTGACCGGTTTTGTTGGACAACGCTTTGCCGGAAGAAAAATTCATAAACGAAGCATCGATGTAGATTATGACGATAAGTATAATTCAACAGGAAGCAGCAATATGAATGAAAGAAAGTGGCCAAAAAAAGTGAGTGCCTTCAAGTTAAAATTGGCTGCTTCAAAAGGAAAAATAAAATTCCCCGAAGAGTTGAATAGCGACTATACAGTTCACATCGAAAATAAGCACAAGGCCGAGAATGATGATGGTATCGAAGGTCGGATTCTTAATAAAAAACCAACAATTTATTCGCATGACAAACAATATGATGATAGACTTGTATTCAACTCGAATCGTGATGTTAAAAAAGTAAATTTTATGGACCGAATTATAGGCCCAACGCCATCACCAAATTATGGAAGCAATCCAAATTCACCCATCCATTTTGATAATGATAATAACGATGAATTTCGAATTGCTTCAAATAATCGATCACCAAAGTTGATTAAATTTCAAGGCACTTCAGAACAAGACGATGGTAATTATCACCAAATTCGATATCAACCACTTGGATCAGTAAATTTTGACGAAACAGCAACGCATCGACCCTCAAAAATGATTTTTCCAGATCGAACTGGAACGGGAAATTTGAGATTCGATCACGACGAATTCACACAAGAAAATCACAATAACAATCGTTACGGTAAAATTCTTACATATGGAAATAATCGGCCGCAAACTGATGGGGATAATAATGGAAATCGGGTGACATTTGGTCAAAGTGATCGCTATTCAACGAACTCACAACAAGGAACATATCGTCCATCGCATAATGACAATAATTATTATCATCAAAACCAAAACACCAATTATTATAATAATCAAAATTCTCCATCATACAATCGGTACTCTGGTTCAAGTTCAAATAGACAACGTGACGATAATTCTAGTCAAAATATTTACGTAACAGATGGAAACGGCAAGACAGTTTATTATATCAATGCACAAGGTAATAAAGTTTATGTCTAACAACGTTCCCCTATAGAATTAAGATCAAAATTGTGATTCTTTGTTACCTAGTTTTACCGACGTTGTACTTTTTTGAATCATTTTTACGAATCACTCATTTTCACATGCTGCATGTACATTTTAATCATTTTTTTTTTGCTATATTAAACTGTTTATTTATCACAATGAAAAAAAAATTGTACATTTTTCCATTGAAATCATTTTAATTAAAAATTCATCATTGAAAAATGATGTGAAGCGTAAACCGAAAGCAGAAAAAAGTCTATTGAATATAAATCGGACAAAAAGTGGCATTTGGTAGGTAAAATATCAATCTGTAATATAATTAAATGGATTTCATTGTGAAAGTAAACCGTAGCTTGGTTATTCAGTCAACTAGAAATGCTGCATATGTGGTGCTCCACACATAATCCGATGATTGTGTATATGTGCGCGCCCTGACGACAGGAAAATAATAACGCACATCTCGTTGTCCACGCTGAATTCTCTCTTTTTTTTGCTGCGTCAACACAATGATTTGTGGTTACAGGTGTCGATTCACATTTCATTCAAAATAATAACAATAATAGATGAGACAAGCCGCACCTTTGATATGATCCCTTTGATATATTCACGCTTCTGTTGTTGTCATTCAATGAATTTTGTCGATCAAATTTGTTACTTTGATCCGCCAGTGCATGAAATAAATACAAACAAAATCCATTAGGCAATGGCTGTTGAATCATTCAGCACAAAAAGTTCCATGCAAATGCCACAGTTTATGTACAAGTGGCACTCTTTATAAAACATATATATAGCTGAATGAAAGAGGGTTAAAAAATGCAGATGAGCTGAAGATTATGCTTATTTAAAAAAAATAAATATGTATAGAGAGGCCAATTAACGTAATCATCATCGAAAATTGAAACCAACCCAAAAAACAAGTGGTTGAATCGGTGTTTATCGAGACAATAAGCTAGCTAAACGAATGCACACAATTTTGTGTCGTAACCATTTATGTTTAAAAGGAGATTATCAATTCATTTTTATATATAAATATTCAAATTTAGAATTGGCTGTGTACGTGTGTTTATTTATTTACGGTGTCAACTCGAAAGCGAATAAAAAAGAAAATTATTAAAAAAATGCTCGTTGGTTCAATCAATTGGCCTTATTATTTTAGCAAAAAAAAAAACATTTACCCTATTCCGTTTACGCTTCGAATGATTGAAATATGAACAAACAGCTTTATTTATCTTTGTTATTGTTTCTGCGCTATTAGACAAAAGTGAGGATTAAAAGAGACACACTTGCGCATCCTTGCATTTGAGAGTTTCCAGGATAAACACCAAAAAAATACAGAAGATAAAACAACAACACAATTCCCATTTTCACTTTTTACCACAATTTGCGGAATAATTTTGGTTGGTTTTTGAGATTTTGCGTTCTAATGAACACATCAATGTTTTTGGATTTATATTTTTGTTTTTGCTCTTTATTTTATTTTTGGGGTATATTGAATAAAGCCAACAAAAGTAAATAAACAAAGCAAAACCTGCCATAGCAAATGAAACTAATTGATAAAAAGTGGCAGTACAAAGTAAAATTTGGGACGCCAATAGGAAGAGAAAAAAAAATAATGCGATTGAATAAAATAGAGAGTGTAAAAATAAGGGGTGTTATTCTTTCGACTAATCTGCTCCGCTTAGCCTCGATACCATCTATACCGTTCGGCTTTGCACTTGAGTGAATGATGTTTCAATGCTCATACATCACATCATTTTTACCTTCTTATTCACGCGTACATATTTTCCGTATTTGTATCACTTCGGTTCCATTCAACATTTATGCAATTTTAATGAAATTATTTGTCATTGGTGCGTGACATAGTATAAATAGGGCGAGTTTGTATACATATATCACGTTTACGCTTAGTTCCATTGTTGGCCTCATGTTATTATTCAAATATCCAGATTGATCCAGATTAAATAAAAAAAGTCTGGAAGTAAGTTTTTTTAATAAAGAAAGGAATAATTTTTTGATAAAACATTTAATAATAGTAATAAGATGCAATCACTTGTTGAATTTAGATTTTACAAATAAGAATTTTTTATTTGATTCACTTTTTCAGTACTGTGGTTTTTGTAATATTCTTCATGCTTTTACTTCATCATCATTTTCTACATGTTTCGAGTACATTTAATGCTCTTTTTAGTTACACCATAATTATTATAAATAAAATATTATTAATGAAGCATTGATGTTCTCGTGATTGGATGGCAAAGCACATAAGTGACGGTAGGTTCTGGTATTCCTATTTCCCCATGTGTCCCCGTTGCTATGAATAAAAATGTCAAAACAAATTTTTTCTTCGGGATAAATATTTGATTTTTCATTTTGACGCGTCAGTTGATAATATTACATACATCAGTTTGTTTGAATTCAAACAGTTCAGTTTTTAATTGAATGTTTCAGTCACTTTAAAGATGATATCTCCGTATTTATTCGAACCGAAAAATTTCACTTACCACAAATTGGCTCTGGTTATTTGCCGTTTGTTCATTTACGGGCATTTTCAAACGGGACATATTCTCTATGATCCAAAGATGTTCGATATTCAATTAATTGTTGAAATCAACTCTGTGTGTTCACATCCCATTCCATGGGTGATGACCAATGTGATTGACGACACTTCGCTGCTTTGGAACCAGGACGAGCGCACAGACTCCGTTTTGCAATTGATTTTCCTCAACTTGGATGACTTGTTACAGAATGTGGACAGTTTTGAGAAATTTTTCACATTTTATCGTTTGTTTGTAGTTTTAAAGGACGAATTAAGCCCGGTAAATCAAAAAGATAAGCTCAAATCAGTCGTTGACTCAAATTTCCTCGTCATGCACTATGAAGTAAGCACCTGATCGTTTCGTATTCATTGGATTTCAAAAACGGTCAAAGTTGTTCCAGACGAATCTAAGGAACATTTAATGCAAAGCATTGACACTCTATACATTGATGACAATGAAATCAGTAATGAGCATTTGTTTGATGTAATTTTTGGAAAATATGAACGTTCCTGGATGAAGACATTTGATTATAACATTTCACTACCATGCAATCATAACGAAAATCTACACGGTGTTCGGGACAGTCAATTGTATTCAAAAACAAATGTGGCTTCTGTTCATAATCATACCAAAGATGTAAAACATAAAGATTTATATTCGCCTCTTCATGGACGGATAAGAATAACGGGACCATTTTCTGCTACCCAAATCAATCGGTTGAGTTAACAATTGTTTTTGTATTTGATGCGAAATTGAAACGCCGTGCCAGTAAATTTGTAGACAGACTTTGGAATGGATTGAATATTTGTGCGACTCCTTTCTTGATCATGGCCGCAATGTTCTTATTATACCTGCGTAGAAGGATAAAACTTAAAAATGATGGTTTCATTACAGTTTATATCGAAATAGTCGGAGTAGCTGTTGGAGGTGGAAATATTCGTGTTCGGCATGCATGTGAATATTGGTTTTACGGGATTTACTTGATTGGAGTAGTTTTTATGGCGGCCATTTATACCAGCTCAACGATGAATAACATATTCTTAATTTCCGAAGAAAAAATTAGTTCTTTTCAAGATTTGAACAGAACAAAGCTATCAATTTTTATTAGCTCAAATTTACAAGGGAATGGTGACATTATTACTGAATTGCTTAAGTTTGTATGAAAGACATGGTTGTATTTGATTTTGTTTTAATAATTTGATTCTTTCATAGGCAACAGTTCGGATCAAATATTGGACATGTGGACTTTGAATTATTTGAAAATTTACTCAAAAATTACAATGCTTCATTTGCTTTTGTAACTGAAACCAATAAAGTTGATCAATTGCGAGTTGCCGCAAAAAATATCAGGGAACTGGATTGCATGCCAAAGAGTTTTGGTATTAATTTTACAGTTGTGATCGAATGATGAAAATTGATAAAATTATAAATATAATTTAGGTTCTCTAAAGACCCATTACATCATACCAAGTAAACATAAAATTCCCAAGCGCTTGAAAAGGCAAACAGATGAATCGATAACTTTATTGTTGGAAAGTGGATTAGATCGTTTTCATATATCACATACGGCATTTATTTCCAAGCTACGAATGAAAAGAATGCTTGACGTTTCATTCTATGACAGTTGATGAATTTTTAGGCGTGGCTATTGGATACATATATCAACTTGGACTCGCATTCATTTCATTTTTCTTAGAGTTTTTATTCTATATTTATCAAAAAATGCGGAATAGTTTGATGACTGAAGAGAACATTGAACTTTGAAAATAGTCGGTTCAATTTATCTCAAGTTCAAAGATATTAGAAACATTAACGTGGTTATTTTCTTTTTTAAAGATTTATCACTTCTTAATGGGTTTTAACGTTTTTTTTTTTAATTTGTACAATATAATTTTTTTGAGTTTTGATGTAATTTTCTAATTAAAATTCATAATGGGTGTAAAATAATTTTAATAAAAGTAGTTTGAAATCTCTACTTTTTTATTCTTTTATTTTATCATATCTCCTATAATTATTTAATTCTCATAAGTGATAAGGGCTATCAAAAATATAAAAATACATCACTTCCGATGATTAACTTTCATCACTTTTTCTTATCTAAAGAAATCAATATTTCGCGCCATAGATACTGACAAACAAAACGATTAATGACGAAATATCATCATGTGGTTTGGAATGAAACTCGATTTGTCATGGTCACGGTCATAAAAATTATATGCGTCAAAGAACATCAAATATTTCAGCATGAAAATTGCATTCACCGATATATGGTCAACATATCTAGCATGACATTTAAAAACAGACTCATACGGTCACAACAAGAGGTAAATTCAAACTTGAATAGAAAAATTTATATTTTTTAATCTATTAATTTTATTCTCGTTATTTTCGTCTAAAAAGGTGAAAACTATGTTGCTAAATATCTGTCTAAATATATGGTTCTTTGGTATTACTTTGTTTGATTCAATTTGAACAGGGCTAGATTTTGTCTATGCAAACAAGTTTCGCAAAATATCAAAACGTTAAAACTAGCGTTTGATTACATGGCCACTGATAAATTTCTGTGTTCTCCCTACTTCGTCCAAATATCTGCATAGAACGTATAAATACGAATTGCAATCGGTTGATTAATATACAGTCTCATCAAAGTTACTCAAAATGGTGCGTTTCTTGAGCTTGCTCATTTTAATTCTTATTCCAAAATAATTCAGTCTCAATATATCTCTCTCTATAATTATTTTAGAGGAGCTTTGTGATTTTAACAGTGCTGTTCATCGCAAATGTTACAGCGATCCAGTTATTTTGTCCACCGGGTAGTACTGGCGAACACCCAAACTGCATTTGTGAAGATAAACATTTGCAGAAATTTCCATACGATGTCGTCAACAACGTTTGTTCGGTTGAAATTAATGTGAATGATATATGTCCAAAAGGTACTTCTGTTATACTTCTAAATCGAAAAGTTATTATATTGTGTGAATTTTTAGTCAGAAGATCCATCCATACGACTTAAATTTTATTCTCTTAGTGATAATAATTTGTTCATATTAATCGCAGGTATGGATGGGCATTTTCCAAATTGCATTTGTAAAGATGGTAAAGTGTTTGTACCGAAAACAAGCGAGTGTGTACCGGTCGACAAAAGTCAGTGCCCAAATGGATCGAAAAAAGTTGACAACAAATGTGTTTGTGAACATAGAAACGGATTTAAATATGAATTCGATGAGATCTTTTGGATATGCCGACCATGGTACATACCAACCACAACTCCAGCGCCACAAGCGTGTCCAACACCACATCAACATCTTGTTGGAGACAAATGTGAATGGGACCGTTGTCCAGCAGGATATACATCAGAAACTGGTATTTTTTATGACACACTGACCTATGAATATTTTTTCTCTCGACATTTGGCATATTCTATAACCAAATTTTATCACATTTTTGAACTTGAGGTTTCTTAAATTTTTTATAATATTTTTGTGTAAAGGTTACTGGCCTAACTGTGTTGGACCACCCACGTGTCACCAAAAAGGTTTAATTGGAGAATATCCGAACTGCCATGGTGCACCGGTCCATTGTGGCTATCATCAAACTGGAACATATCCAGACTGTCATTGGCTCCCGTGTCCAGCAGCATACATATCGAAAACAGGCTATTGGTAATTGTTCAAAAAGTGCATTGAATTTGTAAAAGAATGACTAATACTTGATTGACTTTAGGCCTGATTGCCAAGCTCCGCCGTCATGCTCGGAACGAGGTTTTATTGGCATTTATCCTGACTGCCATCCTCCGCCTCCAACATGTCCTCCTCATCATCATCGTAACTCAGACGGTGAATGTATTCGAATTACATGCCCACCAGGACAAGAAGGAGACTATCAACCAAATTGTAAATTGGTTCCTAAATGTCCGTCATCATATCCTGGTAATGTTTTGAAGCCATTTCATGAAATTAACATTTTTTTTATAATTTACATTCAACACTTTTGATATATTAATGCAGGAAAATGGCCATATTGTAATATTTATGCAACGACACCGCGAAATGCTTATATTCCACCGGAAACACCATCTACACCAAAAACAACAACCACAACTAGAGCAACAACTACGACAACAAAAGCAACGACAACGACAACAAAAGCAACGACAACGACAACAAAAGCAACGACAACGAGAGCAACAACTCCTACAACAAGAGCAACGACAATGCGTAACACTTATCTTCCACCGGACACACCATCTACACCGAAACCAATAACAACAACTAGAGCAACGACAACCACAACAACAACTACCACAACAACACCACGACCAAAACCAAAGTGCCACTGTGAATGTAAAAGCAACGAAATTGTTATTTTCAAAGATAATTTTGAATGGAATCCATCATTGAAATACAAACGTTCCGCAAATGAAGAAGCGTAGGAATTCATTAATAAATTGAGTTGACAAAATCTACAAAAAATGTTCTCTTGCGTTACTTGATATACCGTATTTCTCGGTCACCACTAGAACATAAATATGAAAATAAAAAAAAGAACAATTAAAATATGCTCAGACAGTTGACATTCTCCTTTTTGTGGCATTTAAAATGCACGAAGGTGGTATCTTAAAGAAAAAACCAACATAAATCTCTATTTTTTCTATATGTATCACGCATATGTGTTCAAAAGGTGTATATGAAAATGCTTCGATCAAAAGTAAATTCCGCCTTGAATACCATTACCATTTACGATGCTTTCTGCATATTTGATATGCTTTGAAACCAGAAATTCAACTAACTGTTGACTATGCAACCCATTTAAAATGGATGGATTACCAAAAATTCAGGTGTAATAAAATCGGAAATCATTATTTAACATTCGTTTGAATGATCGGATATGATAGTGTTATTGTATAATGCTTGACTTTATATTTCACATTTAGATGATAACATGAATATGCAAATGTATGAAAAAAAAACAATGCATAAGCGATAAAGAATAATTTTCGCTTGCGTTTCCGTTTTTTGCCCATTAGAAAATCGGAATTCGACTCATTGCTTCAAATGTATCAAGCAACCTTTTAAACAAAGATTTATAAATATCTGCATGGTAGCGCTGAACAATATCTCTATTCAACAGGTTTTTTTATTTATCGATTATTTTTTTATTGTTCGACCGAAATTGGTTGCATCGCTGTTTCTTTGGACATTTTAAATGAATTCACTACAAAGTCTACATTAATTCTTCTAAAAAATAAAAAATAAATCGTCGAGTGGTCGCGTTTTTACTCGCGACTTGCTCTTCCATGACTTTACTATTAGAAAACTCTGTTTCTTTCAAAAAAAAAAAAAGTAAAGTAAAGTAAATTCATCGAGAGGAACAAACTAAGTCGCAAGTAAGTTTCATGATTCAAGCGACTTTAAAACTATTTTACCCAATAAATAAGATGAATTTGAAATTTTGGTTAAACAAAAAAATGGCATTTAATCTCTTCAATTTGAAAGTTTTATTGGCCGAAAAAAATGTAAAAGTAAACATTTTTTGCGCCCGAAACTATACTTTTGCTTTGCAGTAAAAATGTTGCATTCTTTCATCCGTGCGAATTTTTTGTTCAGTAGCTTTTTATTATTATAAAATCAGCGAGACAGAAGAAAACTTTCCGATTATGACTATTTCTTTTTAGCATGTATTTTGACTACTGTTCTGTCTTTGGAGTATATAAGCATGATACACTTCTTTTCGATTTCTCTCGAACCATAAATTACTCACCATGGGTCATAGTTTTCTGTTATTATGTATACTATTTCACATTCTAATTTATTGTTATCTCATTGTTCTCTGAGGAATAAATTACACATGGCTCTACTGTTTTCCAGCTTTGATATACATTTGGCACTAATATGATACAATAAAATGAGATTGATGTCAATAAAGTATGGACGATGGCAGCCATAACCATTTGAAAACACAAGCCAGCATTCGATAAATTTAATTTCACTAGAAATATTCGGGTTATAATATATTATATGCGTATTTTTCATTTCATCACTGAGTCGGAAGAATATCGCCTCATTTATAATGAGCATATAAGATTATTATGATTACAATCCCAAAAAGACAGTTAACAAAAATGACAAACACCTCAAACTATTCTGTGCATATTGTTACGACTGTTTAGTACGCCTGAAGCTGTTTATAGTGTATGGTATGATGTGCATTAAATGAAATATGCATTAGTGATATGATTTCAAGCATTCAAACATTCAAATGCATGTTTTGCTATCGCACATAACTGATTTTCTTGCATGTCTACTCTTTATGCGCAAAAATTAAAATGACAAGATGAGAGATATTAGAATGGGAACTGGCATCAATGTGAAATGGTTTATGGCAAATTTGAAATGGTCCGTATGATGAGAGACGAATAGATGACAATGGTATTTTGATGGTTTATGACACAATGCACATGTTTTATGATGTTCCGCTCTCTACCGTAATATAGATCATCTCGTCATCATTTTTCCCGTCAATATCTTTCGATAGTTACACTAAACATATTAGCAATTGTATAAATTCCTATTTCATGCATGCATATAGAGGGGGTGACTTCTATTTATTTATCGTTATTATCACGAGACAGAAAAATTCCAAGGGAAATAATAAAATTTCACATGTAGAACATTGTCTATGTTCCCCCAATACGACTCGTTCGACTCGTTTAATAAAACCAAGAAATTGTATAGAAACAGATTTTCATTAAGATGTGTATTCTGAAATTCAACGAAATTACCGGTTCAAAGTGAATGCAGACAATAAATTACCACAAAAATGAACAAATTGAATTTTGTATATTGTCGATTTATTCGTTCTGCATCTTCGAATTTTTCGAAGAGAAACAAATTTGCAATACATACTCACTCATTTAGCTAAAAACCATTTCATATTCCATACAGATTCGTCTTTAATTATAAGTTGTAATGTCAAAGTTCATCACATTTCCGAGAAAAAGAGAAAAAAAAACTAGACGAATCAATGATTTCAAGTAAGTCTTGGATGATGACTTGAAGTTTTTCAATTATAGAATTTAACAAAAGCGCGGCGCTTGACAACTTTGTAACCTATTATCGTTAATTACGATGGAAAAATAAGTTTTTACGCCTCTTTGTTATATTGTCTGTTGTCTTGGAAGATGAAAAAATCGTATTTTTGAGCAAAAAAAAATACTCACCGTTTTTCTTTCAGAAATACCTTTGCTCTCAAATCCATTGAAAATTGTCTACTTCCGTTGCTATTCAATCCAAAAATTCCATTGTAAAAATAGTAATAAAAAATTGGTCATTACTACCTGCTGCCACAATTGCTCTCTGAGTGCACATTATTACCTTTGATTTATTCGGTCCATGGAATGGACTCTATAGTAGCTCGTAAATCGGAACCAGTTGAAAGCGAAAACTGGAATCGGTTACGTGAACTTACAATTAAATAATGTTTCACGTTTTATTCTGTGTTGTGTCGATACTACTCTCTAGTCCATACATACTAACGTAGTTAAAGACGACAACAACGGTATCGCCCCTCTTTGTTCGGTATGCTTCTTTTGCTAGCTTTTAGCTACTGTATATGATTGCCAATGTTGTTCTTACATAATCATCCAGTTGTGTATGTTTTCATCGATTTTGGTTCAGTGTGTTAGTCTTAAATGCGAACAAGACACATAAAGCACTGGCCATTCAGTTAGCTAAATGCGACTGCAAAAACTTTTTGCAAGAGAATGAAATGCAATCTTTGTGAATGGATCGTATAAAAAAACATTTACAACTACTGAACTTCTTCAATTGTCATAAGTTTTGGCTTCACATGCAATCCGTTGGCAGTTATCGAAACTCATTTAGTTTTTGTGTAAGTTGGTTTGTTCGCTCGCCGATTACGAATTCGAATTTTTGTTCGATTTATTTTTGCATTCTCACTCATTTACGACTACAAAACGGAAATTATGGCGTTGAATTGTTCAACAATCCGTTGAACATTGGCATTTTTGCATTTAAGCCGGTGTGACTGAAGCATGAGATTGAGTTTTCAAACACACAAGTAGCGCATACTTTCAGACAAGAGATAAAAATCTCAATGATTTTTTTTTTTACTGTCGATGAACATATGAATGGGGTAGAATAAAAACTACTTCTCGAAAAATGTTTAAACACGAAACCTAAAAAAAACTTTCAATGAAAAGTGAATCAATTTTTTTTCGTCCAATTGAAGTGAACCAAAAAAAAATTGTTCAATAAAAGTGAACCCAAAAAAAAAATTCATTTTAGTGTATTTTACACTGAAAAAACCGAGTGAAATTTTTTTTTTGGTTCACTTTTATTGAACAAAATTTTCTTGATTCACTTCAATTGGACAAAAAAAAATTGATTCACTTTTTATTGAAATTTTTTTTAGGTTTCGTTTTAAAATAGCAATTTTTCGAGAAGTAGTTTTTATTCTACCCCATTCATATTTCTTTGTTTTAAATTGAGTTTTGGTTTAACTAAAATTCCAAACTCACGGAAGAAGAGCAAAATCAAATTGGATGAAGCGGTAACAGTTCTACTTTCACAATAAATGACTGTTCAAATATGGGAAAATATTTGAATATTAAATGATATTTTTTTCTCTCTCTATTAAATGACTTTTTTTTCTATTGAGGAAATCGTCGCAAGAAATCATCAGAAGAACCGCTTTAAATATTCAAATGTGTTGTTGAGGGGACGACTTCGGGTGATGTTTGCATAACCTGCTAATTGATAAATAATTATTATTTCTTTAGTGGTCTATCCGTTAGTTATGCTTGCTTACTTTTCTACCGTAACAGATTTTATTTGTTTTCTTTTTTTCATATTTATAGTTTGTAGACTGTGAAAATCGTAAACGAGTTGCGTTAAACTGCAACGCTGATTTAAATGTGATTTCAACATATTCGTTTTCACCGTGCACTGTCGTTTCGATCGTTACGTGCTTCACATTTTTTTGGGGTGAAATTCAGTCATGACAATGACAACGCAAATAATCATTGTTATTTAATTACAAAATGTTGAAGAAAAGAGCTAAACAATGGAAATGTGTTAATTTGTCTTCTAGTTTCTAGTAGAGTAAAGTTATTGAATTACATGACGTTCAAATGGTATATGCATTTTATGCATATCATAGATATTTGGTTACATAAACATTACTACCGGCAAACTATTTATTGATTTTAATGTCCATATTGACGATAAATGTATTTTTGATATCATTCGATGAAACTTTCTTGAACCATTTGTCACTTGACTGCCAAAACTACTATTTCAATTGAATTCGTTTTGTTTTATTTACTTTTCTCGTTGTTGTTGTTGCATTTACCGGCTGTTGTGGTAATTATTTCTCAATTATGGGGTAGGTACCCTTTGTTTCGGCACTTGGTTTGAATAACCATACCATATGGTCAATTGTCCCGCTAATGTTACCGAATTCAATCTTCTATTTTCATGACTAATATTCTCTATTGAGCATTCGAACACCAACAACAGAAACAACGAAATCACTTTGTCAATTTTAATTTTGGTTCCTTTTTTTAGACGTTTTTCACATTCACATTTCAATCAATCTACAATTATGCAATACACGACTTCCGTTATGATTTTCTAGTGAAGAAATTGAAACACATTTACAAGTAATGAGCACCGGTTTTGACGATTTCTCACTTATATACAGATACAATCATAATTTATTTAAAATTACATAAAAAAAAGAAACAATTTACAAAAGTAGAAAATTTGACGAAAACAAGAACTATAAATAAATTATGCATTTATTCTAGTATTTGACATGGGCTTTTGTAATATCCCTATTGCATGGAATACGTTTGGCTAATCTCTTGCATAATGTGGGATCACGAATCACATCACCTATAAATACTGACAACAGGTACCATTGCTTCATGCCACCTCGTTGGATCTTGTAATTTCTGGGAATAAATAGAGAAAAAAAACCGATTAAATAACATGACAAAAATATTCACGCATGGAATTTTATTTTATTTTTTGCGAAACCACATTACACTTAATGGGGCCAATAAACATATCAATTGACGTGCTCAGCTGCACTCATCACTAATAATGTGTGTTAAACAAAGCAAACGATGATTTTTAATTAGCTTGTATTGAAATTAGCAGATTTTTACACATAAAAAAAACTATGCATGCACGTTACAAAAACATGTTTTTGTTATATTTAAGTTAATAGAGTGTAAAAATCATCGTTATTATTTTTTCGCGTTGTGAATTAGATAATACCGCCGCATAATCATTTGTTTTGATAATGTGATTTATGCAAAAAAAATTAGATCACTTGATTTAATAAATAATTAACCAATTGTTTGATAACACATAAATATTTACCTCAAAATATCTAACCAATCGGGCTGGGCGCCAGCTCGTCCCTGTCGTAGAGAATGGTCTTTGCATGGTTCTTCAATTATACATGCTTTTGGTCCATATTCATCCAAAATTTTCTTTTGTGCATAATCAATATCAACCATTGGCGGCATCGATTCATCACTCAACGAATAATCCAACGATGCACGTCGCACTCGTGATTGATAGGTTTCTGCAAGTATAAAAGAAAATCGGTGAAGAAAAAAACGGGTTTCACACACAATTTACACACCGTACAAAGTAGCTTAGTAGTGCAGAAAATATGCACGAAGAAAGTGAAGAGGAAACAATAAATTAATATAACAAAACGGAAAGATTCAAGGTCGAAGCAATAGAAAATTTTATTTGCACGCGAATGAAAACAAAAATTATTCGCAATTTTACTGTCTTCGTCTATTCAAGATTGCTTGATTGGTAATTTCTTGCACGTCGAAACAAGGTGTTACTGACATTTTGAAACATTTTACCGGTTATACATGTAGTATATGTGACGTGACTTTTTAGCCGCTATTTTAACATTTCAATCAATTCAACGGCACTTTTTTTTGTATGCGATTGCAAAAGAACACATTCTCGGAAAACATGATTGAACACGCGCTCAACTTTTGTGTGTGTGATGTTTTTCTTTGTAACAGTCAGAAGAGTGGTCACTTTGAGGCCATTCTCACGTTCTCAATGAAAACAAATATTTTAAAAATGAACAATCAACGTGTTTTACCACATTTTGTGGAAATTACTCGGACTGATTGATGGCAAACAATTTGAGTTATTCAACACTTTTATGCGCCAACAATTCAGAAATTCCAACAGCGTGATTTGAAGCTACACACCTCCCTTGACAAAACGACCTTTGGTGAGTTGAAAATCCAAACAAAGTTTATTTGCAAACGAGCCAATTATGACCATTTTCATAGTCACATTTTTTTTAATAAAGTGTTTTTACAATATGCAGGTAGGTCTACCAAAAAAATTGAAGCAAGGTTATGAGGTGGACATTTTGCATGATATTCATAGTCACATAATATGATTTCATAACGTCAATTAATAAAATGTCAGATTGAAAAGATTACATAACAATCATAGGAATAGAGCAATTAGTTTCTTGAATGATGTCTGATTTCTCGAGAGAAAAAACCGCTTAGACTAGAACCATAAAAATGAATTTCTAATGACGTTGTCATCCGAAGCACCGTTACCAATTTGTGTGACGTGGTCGGAATCAAGTCGTGAAGTAGTTTCGGCGAAAAAAAATTTACATATTTTTTTTGATAATCATTTAAGTTTCACAATTTCGTTTTCATCAATTTAATTATGGCTTTATTTAAAATTTGATGTTTAATAAGGTAACCGCAAAAGATTTGAATACACACAAACACGCCGCTTGAATAAATTTCCTGCTTATTTATTCTCTCTTTCGAGGTCAATCGTTGTTACCGAACGATGATTGAGAAACACTTCACTTTTGTGCAATAGATGTTAATACACTTATCAAACATAGATTGATTGCATTGAGTTGCTTCAACAAAAAACCGGTTTGGCTTTTTTTCGGAAACTTTTCGTTTTCGCCACTTGTGACAGACACATAATCGGATTTTGCATTCGTTTTCGTTTTTCTTCTTCGCATTTCACTTGTGTGAGATGGCTGCTTTTGTTTTAGTTCCATGCACTTTTTTATGTAATGGATGAAGAGAGCTCGAAATTGAAATGAGAGTAAATCTGTCTTTTGTGATGATAATGCTTCTCATTATATACTCTAGTACCGTTACTAAAATGGAAAGTGGTATAAATATTTTTTTTATTTGCAAAAAACTTACTTGGATTAACGGAATATGCCAGTTTTTTCACGAAATTCGAAAAACGCACCGCTAAAATGATCACAGGAAATCCGACCAATTGAACAGGTAATTCAAATAGTGGTGTCTGTTCTTGTGCTCGTATCGCTCTACCGCTAAAATCCATTATGGTTAATAACAATGCCGAGAGCACCGCAAGAGACGGGAATATCACTTGAAATCGCATTTTTATTTTCGAATTATTATATTGTATCGGTTTATGAAAACAAATAACGTGTCACTAAAAGATTCAAAACAGAAAACAAAAATCCGAAATTATTATTGATCAATCATTTTATTTAAATTAAAAATTAAAGTTAAACCAAAATTTTAATTAAACAAAATATTGTAACGCAGCGGTCGAGATGTTGATTTATAAACATGATTCATTGAATAAATAAAAAAAAGTGCTCAAATTTGAGAGTAAAATGCATGAATGCGTATGCTTTGATAAAGAGAATGGATAAAGTTAATTATGGCGTTTGCAAAATTTTAATCGTTTGTGAGCGAAAAATAATCATCATTTGCATTATAAAGGTAAAGGGTTCAATGAGTTTTGGTTTTTGTGGTGAACGATACAAAAAAAAAGCATTTCACTTCAGCGACTGCGTTAAATAAAACAAAAAAATCCACTTTTTCAACACAAACAATTTTATCAATGATTTTAATTGATTTTTTTTTATTTGAATATTGTTGTTTTTCATCACAATTTTATCATTTCAAAAAACGGAGCGAAAAATATAATGACACAAAAAATGCAATTTACCGCAGGTGGTTACCAGATAATGAACACGAAAAATTAAACAAAAATGTGAACGAGAAAATAATAACGAATAAAAAAAAATCAATCCACTGCACTCGCGACACACTCAGTTTTGCATCCAAAATCGTTGACGACGAATAATCATATGTTACGAATTGATCGAATGGACAAGTAAAAAACTCCAAACTCAAGGCAAGCCGTCGTTGTCGTAGTCATCGAAAAAAGAGCCACGAAAATGAATTCCAATACACACTCACACATGCAGATAAGTGGAAAATTCACTTGCCTATTACCGAACGTAAACTGTGTAGAAAAAAAAGCACACAAAAAAGCCAGCCAGCACCACAAGAAGTAGATAGACCCATGCGCGTTCATACAAACTCGACAGTTTCGTTGAACATAAAGTTAACGTAGAAAAAAATAGGCTTGGTATTTTCTGTTGATTTGTTTGTTTTGATTCTTCGTTTTCGTTTATTCATAATATATATATATACGCGGTGATCTTTCTGCATCAGTGTAAGCGCGCATTTGGTGTTTCGCAAACTTTTTTTTTGTTTGTATAATTCCCGCCATCCAATCCATTAATGAAAAAACCACATAATGTTCACTAGCACAATGATACTTCCATCACTAACACAGCACACGCGTTTTGCTACGTGCGTTTGCTCGTGTTGCCTACAACAACGATCAACGAGGTGTACTCAACCGATATAAAATATGTCAAAGAAGAAGAAGACAGTATATCTGATGGTCGTCGAGAAATTTCGATGGTAAAGTTAGCTAAGAATGTGACCGCTAGCACACTTAAAAGTAATTGAACCAAAACTCAAAATTTTCGAATGTTGAAAGCTCATACGTAATACATGGCATCGATTGAAAGCACCACATTGCAGCAATCAATGCTTTATTGCATCAATCTTTCCATATTTTGATTGTTTCCGATTTCGATCGAAAATCGAAAGTGACACAGTTTGCTAAATATAATGAAAATACATAAACACAATGATCGCTCATCTAGTGACCATACAATACATTGAATCAATTTTTTATGCTACCAAATGCGCCATCGACTTCTTAAGCAACCGACCGACACACCGATATAACACGCACACACACATGATTATATGGATAAGTGAAAGTGCAATGCAAACAGACAACGCTGTGAGCGCGTGTACGCCACACCAAACTGCCAAGCCAACAATGCTACGGCAAGACATCGAATGAACGAGCAAGCGAGAGAATACGACACACACGTGAACGATAAAAAAGCGGGTGAATAATGAAGTTAAACCGTGCGCGATATGCGAACAATGCTTCAGCTAAAATGTGTCGAGTCTATGAAAATAGCAAACTTTTATCTATCTTTACGGTGAGCATTTTAGAGTTGCATATACAACAGCCACAACGCTCATAGCATATGTAGTATTACGACATCAATCTATATTGGGTTTGGTACACATTTTTTCTCTTTCTTTCTCTTTCTCTCTCTTTCTCTTTTCTCGCCATCGTTATGTGATTATCCATGGTAACATGTAATACCATATGATTCAAGCGCATAAGCGCACGTAAACGTCGAACAATGAAATATACCAAATCTATTTTCATGTTTATAGGTAGATCTGCATTGTAATAACACACGACTAAAATTGTTTTTTTTTTTTGCTAGTTTTGTTGTGCTTTTGTCTCTATGTTTCGTTTTTATTGTATATGTAAGCGAGCAAGTCTTATGCATTTACCTGTCTTTGCATTATTCATTTTTTTTCATAATTTCAACAACTGATTTGGATGCGAACTTTTTTTTGCTTGATTCCGTTAATGATTTGCTTGCATTTGAGGGCAATTTATGTAATCTTTGCGTGAAAAGAGTCAACATACTTAATGTTGCGTTAAAATATTTGAATGTTTAAAGAATTTAATGGAATAGAATTATCACTCAGGATTTTACTTGACTCATTTCAAGGTAAGCCTCTATTTTATTTGATGACCAACGGCAGTCCTCGCATATTTGGGCTTTTCATTCAATAAAACAAGATTACATATATGTAGTTCACAAAAATGTAAATATGAAGTCATTGCCTGTGGTCATCATGCTCGCAAGGCCAACAAATTCTCGAAATTCGATCATTGAGGGGTTTTTCTCTACAGCGGTGTTTTAGATTTAATCCAAATTGAAAATATATAAATAAAACCTCTTTCAACTCTGATTTCTTTAGCAATTTCTTCTCTTCAAGATGGCTTCAATTGTGGTTGTCACTTTGATAGATGAACTTAAAAGCTGCAAAAGTATTTGGATTTTTTTTATTATGTGTGACTGCCAAAGTAATATCAAATGTAAATTTGCTTGTGTCGTAAAATTATTTTCTCAATAACCGTAATATTGTCTGCATAATAGACACGAGTGCATTCTGTGCACGCCACACGGATGTGCCGATTTTATTCATTTTAAGAACTGAAATGATTAAACGTCGTCAGTCTCCAAAAATAAATTAAGTTACAAATCATAAATTTTATGGCATCGAATGCATTGAAAAACCGACTACCTAAATGGAATGCGTAAATTGTTGTGTGCTATATGTATCATATATATATGAGTTAGATTATACTATAAAACTGTCTGTTATTAATAAGATAAATATTAATAAAATGCCCATTTCCCTATCTTCTGCACATCAAATAACGGTTTTATGTGCTATGTATAGCTCTATTTGCTATGCGTGTTAATTTAATTCACGATCCATAAAACAATTTTATATGATACAATTTGCAGTAGCGTTCATCAGATGGCTTTCGCTACATTGACAAGCGAACGAAATAAATGTCGGGAAAAACAAATTTCGAAAGAAAAAAATGTATAAAAAGACAGCCACGAGGAGAATCGTAATCAAAATATATTTGCTGAATTGTTTCAACTTTCGACACATCATCGGGGAATAATTGCAGTTTGATCATCACCTTTATTGAAACGTACACACTCAAATAATGTGACGTCCAAATTGTGTCGAAAAACATTAAAACGAATTGGTGTTGATAACGCACGCAATTCGTTCGCAGTCACGCAAAATCACACATGCACAGTTTATGACCATCTGAAGGTGGCAGTTATAATCATAAAAATATTTTCTATCGCCTGTGATATTGTTTATTATTATGTTTCGAAAATTCGATTCAGTACATCGTATATATAGATGCGTGGGGTATGTCCCGTAATGGTTTCATGCAATTCAAACGTTATAGAAAAGATGTTTCAATGGAATTTCCCAGTTTCAATGTCATACAAAATTTGTAGTATAAAAATGATCGAAATGAGATACATCAACGTTCATCATTATTTTTTAATTCCCATTCATTACTGCAGATATTAATATACAATAGATGAGTAATGCAATATTATTTTGAGCAAAATTTTGAACTTTACAGAAGTTTGTAAGAAGCATATATCCATATATCATGATGTTTTGATAGTGTTTAAAAAAGAAAAAAAATATCGAAGTAAAAAGCCAAAGAACCAGGCGGCCACTGTCATGTACTAGATTCACAACTGTAGCCTTTTGTAAGTATACGAATGAGAGTGTAAATATTCTGTAAAACAATAAAAATATCTAACACAGTCTACGAATTTGGCTTTTTGCCTAGGGGATAGACACCAATTTCTAGTATATTTAGTTTCATTTAATATATATTGAGTTTCTTTTAGTTTCTTCTAGTTTCTTTTAGTACTCGTATACAAACAAAAACTCAAATATTCTGCTAGTATTTCTAGTATTGAGCCAAATGAATCGCATTGTCAGTGTGAAGACATTTATACGGAGAACAATAGAGACCATTGTTCTCACTAAACGCAAATATTTTGTTTACAAAAATGTACCGTTAATCTCATCATAAGAAAAGTATTGGCAATGTATTTTGTATGGATCGGTCGAAGAATCAATATGAACATTTGTTCACAAATATTCTTTTAGTAGTATACTTTTAGTTTTGCGAGTGTCTACCCCTAGCTTTTTGCTCTTTATGTGATTCAATGTTGTACAACACGTGTTAATAAGAAATGGAATGGCAGGCAAAAAATGTGCTTTTACTACAACAACTCAATAGCAGCACAAGAAAGTTTAAACAGTTCTCTGTATTATTTAACATTAATAGATTTTATAACTGGTTTTCCTTGATTTATATTTTCGGTTAAAGTGAGATAAAAATGAGATAAGTACCGATCATTCAATAGTGGTAACGAAGAGATGTCATCTTCATCTTTTTTTTTTATCTTATAGCACAAAATGAAGATTGTTTAATACTTTTTTATCATAAAACAGACAGTATATTCAGTTTAAAAACACTTTCCACGATGGTAAGATAAATTTGAAAAATATATTTTGTTTCTTTTGCCATTAACTTTATTCACTTTTCAGAATTTGTTCATATTGAGTTCCTTGTTATTGTTTGCAAGTGCAACGAGTGGCTTGAAAATTTTGCTTTTTACACCTATAGATGCTTACAGCCACTGGATATTCATGCAAAATATAATCCAAGCATTATTGAACAAAAATCATGAAATCACAGTAGTTACAGCAAAAACATGGAATGGCGTCAAGCCAACAAACTATACCGAAGTGCTTATTGATCCACCGTTAGATTCGGAAAAGGCTTTTTCACAATCAGAAGTTTATGAAGCCGAACTTGGGTCTATTCCGTCGATTTTAAAAAGATTATCAACAATGACAATGTACGGCACATTAACTGCCCAACATGCCTTATCCACATCAAACGTTCAGAGACTTTTGCACGACGAAAGTTTGAGCTTCGATTTAGTGATAAATGAAGAATTGTTTACGGAAAGTTTTTCGTTGTTCGCGTATAAATTCAAAGTTCCTCTATACTATCTGTGAGTCGTAAAAAACGTGTAAAAAAATCCTGTTTTTATGAGCAACTCAAAATATTTTTTAGACTCATTCGGATATTCGGACTTCATTGACAGGCAATTTGGATTGCTAACTCCGTGGAGTCACGTTCCTCATATGGTGAGTAGTACTAACTTTAACTTTTGATTATGCTATAATAGTTTGAAACTGATCACAAATGATCAACAAATGATGACGTTTTTACATTTACAGATTGTTCCGTATTCTGATGATATGGCATTTGTTGAACGATTTAGTAATGCTGTTATCTCTTTTGGTGACTGGGCTTTTCGGCGTTTGCAAAATGCAATTGCACAAAAGTATTTTGGCCATTTGGGGGAATTGTCTTCAATTGATGACTTAATGAAATATGTTTCGATGACTTTCATAAATACACATCGTAGCGTGATCTCCCCATGACCATCTATGCCTGGAGTCGCTTTCATTAGAGGCGCTCACATTAAGGAGCCGCAACCATTACCAAGAGATATTCAAATATTTTTGGATGGAGCAAATGATGGTGCAATCTATTTTAGTTTTGGTACCTATGTCAAGCATAGTGAAATACCACCAAAGCAACTACAATTGATTTTTGACGCCTTAAGACAAGTTAAACAACGAGTTCTTTGGACATTTGATGGTGATAGAAGTAAAGATATTCCGTCTAATGTTATGATTAAACAATGGATGCCACAAAATGATATTTTAGCACATAAAAATGTCATTTTATTCATAAGTCACGGTGAGGTTTCGTCGAATAATGTTTTCACATTTCGTTTATATTAAATAGTGTCTCATTTTCAGGTGGAATGTTCGGTCAATTCGAATCTCTATATCATGGCGTGCCACTTATAATGATTCCATTTTTTGGAGACCAGTTTCGAAATGCAGGTCGAGCCCAACAAGCTGGATATGCGAAGAAGATCAATTTTAAAGAACTTAGCACCAACATATTGGTTAATACTATTCATGAAATGACCACGAATAAATCATATTTGAACAGAGCAAGAGAAGTGTCTGGAATATTCAATGCCAACATGATTCATCTTTTAGACGAAGCTGTTTATTGGATAGAATATGTAGCCAAGTTTCGAGGTGCCAAACATCTTAAATCACATGCAATTAATATGCATTGGTTCTCAAACTTGATGTTCGATGTAATTGGTGCACTTCTTCTTGGACTTCTCACCGCAATATTTGTGATATATTTTGGGATTAAAATCATGTTTTGGCGAAAAAAAGTTTCAACACAGACGGCCAAAGTGAAACAAAACTAAGCGTACATATATTATACTGTTGGATTGTAAAAAAAAGTTTTCAAATAAAGAAAAAGTGTAAAGATAACATAGAATACATGAAACATGCAAATAAATGACGAAAAATTGTGATTTTTGACTAAAAGTTTTAGTTTTTATTGATTCGAGGAAAATACGGCACAAAGTCGATAACGGACATCGATTCCAAAGTTTCTATTTTAATTTGTCTTGTAAAATACTGCAATTGAAAGTGAAGATGATTAATTGTTTGCAAGAAAAGTACCAAATTGAAAATTTTATATTGAACTCTGTTATTGAATACTGCTAAAAAAATGTCATAAGTGCACGTGCATGTACATGGAATTTGCAGATAAAATTAAGAACAAACGTATTAAATACCAGCGATACGAACCGAAACCAAACCATTTTTTTGGTTTCACTTAAAACCAAACCGGAGCAATCGGAACGTTCCAATAATCCAATAATGTTCGCCATACAAACCATTTTCGGAACGTTCCGCTTGCTCCATTTCGTTCAATTCACAAATGAAACCAATTCGAGATACCACTCCGAAATCGGTTTGTATGAGAAATGTCCAACCGGTTCGCATCGCTGTTAAATACCTATAAAATTTTAACATTTTTCTTCAAACAAAGCGAAAAATGAGAATTGCTATAGCGTATTAGTTAACATAATATTATAAAGTGTTTTTGGTGATCCCATTCAAAATATTGTTGTGAACTCAAACAACAATATTCCCGTTCAATTTTCAGATGCCTTGAATTCCATAGAATTATAATTCATTATCCAATAATATTTTAAAATAAATGTTTCGTGTTTTCGTCTGTCCATAAAAATGTAAATGGAATTCTAATTAGAAATAATGAATTGTGTATTATGTGGATTAATATAAGCAAAAAAACACGTTGTATTTGAAAACCATTTAAAAGCACATCTGTGAGACAATATTTTACGATTAAAACTGTATAAATATTCTGTCACCTATGGATATTGTGTTACTTTGAAGCAAAATGCGTTATTTGATCTTGTTATTTTTTACTGGTTCCCTTTCTATGGTAAGTTTTTTTGTGAATAAACGTCTGCAACTATATATAATATTTTGATCAATTTTTCATATTCTTTTTTGTTTAGGACACAGAAGAAACATTGGTTACGATTAGGAGAATTGTCGATGAAATGAAAATTAAGAAAATAATTCCGCAATGGATTGCTGAAAAATATGACATGAAGCCTACTGAACCATTCCACTGTTTTACCTTGGAAGAACCATTGCTTGTCGATGATCAAATTAATCGACTTAAAAGTTACCCCAGTAAAATCAGTGATAAATCTCTTCGTTTGAAATTGAAAACATTTTTCGATACAGTCTATAAATTTTCATCGATGATGTCCACACTAAAGCCGGTAGTAGAAAATATCAAAAATTGTTGCCAATTATACCGAACGAAGCAAAAGGAATTCTTAAATACAGTAGAATCAGTTTTTGAAAAACTGAGAAAGAGTGTAAGGATACAACCATTTGAATCGAAGCTATTGAACCAATTTATCAGCATATCAAATGCGGCCAGTCGTTTTAACCAACTATTCAATAGCTATTCGCCAGAGATCAACGATGTTATAACCAAAATTGACCAAATAAGTTCATCGACATCAAGTGATAAGCCCAAACATATCGCAGAATTAAATTCAATCGTTGATAATTTTGTGCGAGACGGTTGCCCAAAAGTAATTAATATTCTTAATGGTGATGTCATTAAGATTTTAGGTGCTAAATGTCCCGATATCAAAGGTTTCTACGCTGGCTTATGAATGATTTTTAATTAAATTTATTTCATATTTGAATATGTATAGATTTTTGGCATTGACTTGAAATATAACACATATTATATAGTATAATATATACATTCATCGTTTGAGTTATTGAAATTCCAATACAAGACTTCGTTTGTTTTTGCGAATATTTATAAATGAATGAGGTAGAATAAAAACTACTTCTCGAAAAATTGGTATTTTAAAACGAAACCTAAAAAAAAATTCAATTAAAAGTGAATCAATTTTTTTTTTTGTCCAATTTTGTTCAATAAAAGTGAACCAAAAAAAAATTCACTCGGTTTTTTCAGTGTAAAATGTACTAAAATGAAATGTTTTTTTTAGGTTCACTTTTATTGAACAAGTTTTTTCGGTTCACTTCAATTGGACAAAAAAAAATTGATTCATTTTTCATTGAAAGTTTTTTTTTAGGTTTCGTGTTTAAACATTTTTCGAGAAGTAGTTTTTATTCTACCCCATTCAAATATAATCAGCTCAAAAGTATGGTCGGGCAAAAAAGCCGTCAGCAATTGGTAAAATTTATATTCAAGAACGAATTTAAAGAGAGGTTTATAAAGAAATGAGAGTAGAGAGGTACTACCTAATAAAATGGACAAATAAAAGGCGAAGAAAGTAAATTTTGGAATGCAACTATACCGATATCGTTTAAATATACGTATTACAACGGTAACAGTTGTTTCTCGTAAATCTTCGACGTCGCATTTCACAAGAGATTGATTTTTACGATGTAACTGGACTGTATCATATTTACATAAGTTTTTTAGATTGTGATTTTTTTTATTTACGTTTTGGGACTTTAAATAATCGAAATCAATTGAGTAAAAATTGTTATAAATTTGCGATGTGTGTTTTCGAGGCGTAAAATGTAAAGGAAGAACCAGACGAATCATTCACAAAAACAATGATCAAAAAAATGGGAACACGGACCAAACAGCCCATGTTACAACTTTATTATGCATGTACCGAATGTACATCATATGAATATAATATATACGCATCAATGGTCGAGAATAAACGGAATGTGATCAACAAACATCATTTTTAAATTACCACACATCGTAAAAATTACGTTACATAAATTTCATAATTTATTTTATTGCTTGAATACACACCGGCAATGCATGCGGACTGTATGTATACGTATATGGTTCCGGTATTGAGACTAGACGTCGCAGATGCATTACGTTGCATTATATTGGCATCGCACGTCATCCAGAACAAGTTTCAATTGCATAATCATCATCGGTCACAAAATGGAATATTCCAAGTATTAGATACGATACATAAAAGATATGGTATCTCATATTCACTTCGTTTTATTCGCAAGAATGCAAAAAGCATGATGGAGGAATTGCATTTTATCACATTTTTATATTTTCTCATTTATTCGATAGAAAAAAAAACGAATAAAAGACAATCCGCTTTAAATGCAAAGTCAAAATGTTTCCAATTTGAAATTGAGCCCGACTTTATGGTGGCTTTTGCATTCATAACCAAAGTGAGCAAGTTGAAAAAAAACGAAAATAATAAAAAAATAAATATCGAACCCATCCATCGATTGTGATGAGCGTCACATGTGCGATGCACAAAAATGGCAACAGCTAATGCAAACATAAAATCCGATTCTATACGCAAATGACCGAAAAGTCGTAAAATCGACAAATATATAGTTTCGCTTTGTTTGTGATAAGTTGTGACGCTTGGTCACCCCAAAGAATGAAAAGGCAGTGAACGATGCTTGCATCCAGGGTACGTTCGACAATAGATACAACTACAATCATTACGATTGCATTTTTTTTCGTATGTTTGTTTTTCAGATTATCGGTCAGTTGATTGTCATTTCGAATCGATAAATTTGCTTTTTGTTTCTGGAACAAATCAGCTATGAAGGTGACGGCACAAAATTGAAATTTGCTTTGATCGACATTCTAATCCAAAAACACCTTTCATAGCACGACACATTGAATATAAAGTCACTTTTTTCGGCTCAACATATCTAAAAAAAATCATGTGTAGTGATATGAACACATAGATTTGGTAACAAATTGCTTTTATTTAGAAGTTTACGACGTTAACATCTGTGGTAACAAAGTGACAAGAATATTTGCATTTTTCCTACAATTTATAACACAATGGTTGGCTATGCAATGCATCCATTTGGGCTCGCTTCATTCATTGCCATGTTTTGCGCTCGTAAAAATCAGTTTTTTATTTGATTCTTTTTTTGTCGTCCACAACTTGACAGCAAATTGAATTCAATAACTGATTTTGTTAATAAAGTAATAGATTCTATCTGCTAAAGCCGGGGGATTTTTATTTCCAAATGCACAGCCGATTATTTTTTTTTCCTCTGATTTCAGAACGAAAAAAAACCGATTTGATTGACCACTTTAGCGATCAAGTGGAACGATTATACGTTTTGTGAGGGTTAAATGTGTGAGATCTATTCAAGACATTAAACTCGAATATGTTGGATATGTCTTTATTTTTATCGTATTTTGACATATTTTTTCGATGCTTGAATTTTTGAAGTTTTCTTCTCAATTTAATTTGATGGTTCTAACCAATCAAAGAAAGGTCAAATTTGGAAGCAAGTCATAAATTGAATTCAATCAAAGTATGCATATTTTCAAGTGATTTCGCATTATTTTCAATCTACAGAACTACAATGATTTTTTTTCTATATTGCTGCATACTACTGTATTAATAAATTAATATGTATACAATTGAAAAAATAACTCGTATTTCCATACAAAGCAGCTACCATGCAAAACAAGTATAGTCTGCACATTTGGTCAAATTCAATGTCAACAATATTTTGCATCACTATTCATGATTATGCTATTGTTTAGAACGTTTCGCCAAAATATATATATTCATATAAAAATCACGTTTTTATGCGTCAAAAAGTCATAAAAATTATATTTAATTCATCTCTATTTGAATAACAGGAACCATAAAAATCATGCATGGTTATAAAATCAAAATCCTTTTGTAATTGTAACATTTTCATGATGGTATTTGCCGATATTTGTGTAAAAATTGGCTATTGTCCTTGTTGCATGCATGTGTTTGCGCAAAGTGCAATTTATTCAAATAATAAAATGGACAAAGCGATGGCTTCAATGTTTTTAGCGCTTATTAAAATAATCATAAATAAATTGGATCAAAAACAAATAAAAACGGTAGTCACCGAAAAAAGCCACACATGTGAATGAGCGCTGTATTTTTATAGGTTTTTGGTCATTTAACTGCGCCAAACAAATTTTATAGCCGAATGCATTTATGAATTGTACACCGCATGAAAAATAATCGATCTTGATGAGACTGATACAATTGACGAGTTCCCGGGAAAAATTTAGAAACGACCGTAAATTGGGTGCACCTAACAGTTTATGACAATTGCAAAAATGATGATGTTATTGTTCAAAAAACGCAACTTCTTCGTGGATGAAGAGTGAAAATTATTATAAATTTTTGATTATTTCTATGATTCGAATTTTCAAATGGATACGAATTGTAATGGCAAACGATCAATAAAATGACAAATAAAATTATTTAATATATTTTAAGTGTAGACAAACAAAACGCCGTAAGCTGCCCTAAAAATAAACGAAGAGCATAAAAAGAAGCGTATATATGTCACACATATGCGAGAGCGCGAGAGCTAGAGAGAGTGGTAATAAATTTATAGTCCAGAACAATTGAGAGGACACCGAGCGACAGTCAATCTGATAGTTAAAATCGAAATAGTTTTAAATAGAATGCGGGTTGCACCGCACCACCGTGTACTGTATTCCATACTGAGATCTTTTTATTGACCGAAATGGGATGCGTGGTGAAACACGTACATAGATACCATTCATGTAAGCGCATGGTAGCCCATGTGTTTTTTAAACGTATGATGAATGCACAAGTGGCAAATACACATACGATGCGTGTATTAAAGATATCCACATGTGTGTCAATTTCAAATAATTGTATTTCAACATTTTACGACCGATGCGAGACACCTCGTTTTATGCGGCACAAATACAGCCATTAAATTATTTGTTTCCTATTTCTAAAACTCCTCTTTAAATTGATTGGTTGACAAGAGCAATAAATTGACGTTTTCTGACTTTAGAATATTCATTGTGCAAAGAATGATTAGTAAATGGTAAATGGTAAACCCTATTAAATTCACTTTTGAATTCGGCGTATTAATTAGAAAAGCATATTTAGAAATATAGATTTTCATACTTTCATTGATATCAGACGTCCAACTCGTACGAAGAATTCCACTTTTGAAATGAAAACAATTTTGAGGGAACCGGCTATAACTCCCCTTCGGTGAATTTTTTGAACTTCAATCATCCAAGCACAGCTACATTCTTGAAATTGAGGAGGCAGCTATTAAATTCAAGCATACATACGTATGCCGTTACACCATCACATGTGTACTTGTTTCAACGGTGCCATTATAAATTTTCGGATATAAAAACTAAAGATTAAAATGATAACAACGAGTATATATTTTATTGCGAATTAAAATAAAACAAATAAACAAGCGTCCATTGCATTTTTGTTGATCAAATGAAATGAAATCGTACTAAAAAGTTTATGAGAGCTAGTAGCCAGAAATAATTTGTCAAAACATGTGATGAGGCTCTTTAACGAGAGCATGTAATTCTGTTGTGATATGTTGCCGTTTTGCCGAAAACGACACCGTATCACAATTAAAATGTTCGGAAAATTTCATTTATGTTCTTTAAATCTCATTCTATACATAAATATCTCAAAGGATCTGGACGAAGTGACTCGAATTATTACAGCAACGACTTAAATTTATTGCGTTACAGGCCCATTTAGAAGAGCATGTTAATTTTTTCTTGCATTAAATTTACGAATATAGTATGTGCAGTGCACACCACGAAGACGATAGTTTAATAGGGCCATTAAACAAACATGGAAAATTTAAGTGAGAATAGTGGAATATATGCGACCGTGTCTTTGGGCGTTTTGTATAATCGACGATGTGTCCAATTATTATGGAAATTTGTGTCGAAGGGAACGATGATAAATTTTAAGACAAAACTTATAGCACAAAAGACTTCATTTAAATCCGTAGTTGACCGTATTTTAACTATTACGATGTTAAATGGAAATCACTTAAATTGTTATTGCATGAAGCATTTATTAATTTTTAAGTGGAGGTGACCACTCAATCTCTACAAACATATGATTATTGTATATTGCTTGATTTTCTATACAAAAGCAAAATATGATTAAATATTCTCCTGAATGTAGATGAATATTGATGAGTTTTTTTGTATTTTAAAATTGTGCATGCCGGCGCTATGTGACATTGTATATGCCAATTGGCTTTTTTTTATTATAAAATTGTTAATAATTCATTATTCAATCCGTATGAAAATTTCTTAATTCGTTAAGACTCTTTTTTTTCAATTATGTGAATTTGAAAAGAAAACAGTGTAAAAGCAAAATACTCTTTTATTAACAAAAATGATTCAGCCTTTTGTGATTAGACTGAAAACACAAAAACTGTCAGATCATATTAAGCGTAATATCATTTCAAAGAGTTTAAATCGTCATTGCACATATTATTATTATTTTAATCGGTATAGGTTTTTTCGGGGGCGATGTGAACGATTCCCAACTGCACACCACACATATCATGACTTGTCTTATCATATAGAATTGCACATGTGTGTAATATAAAAAATGTAAAATTATTTAAAACGAATCAGATCAATTCGTCAAACTCATGTCAAACAGCAATCATAAAACGGTGATATCGAATCAATATTCAATCGGTTTAATATTACATCAACTTCTATTTGAAGCAATACAAAAGACATGCAAAGTAATACCTTTTTCTCCCCGATGCTAAACAATACCGAAATCGATTGAAACGACGAATTTAAAAAAAAAATCTAGACAAAGAAAACTACCACCGCGGTGCAACAATAGACACAGGCTTTTGCCAACCGCGAATCCAATCATATCAACCCATTCCAATAGTGAAGATGATGTCGAACATTTACAATTTAAAAAGAGACATACTTTGAACCGCGAATCCAAACAAATAAATCAAATATTCACGATGTGTTATTTTTCTCCTCTTCTCCAAATCATTTCGAACCACAAAAATATGAATTCAAATCGTTTGACAAGCCAACATAATAAATAGCTTCCGTATGCCATTCGGTGTTGTGTACGCTTGCAATCTTGTGCATGAATTGCTTTTTTTTTCACTCTCGCCACATTCAATTGCGTAGGCAAAATTTTTGTTCGACAACCCTAAAAAAATCATACATACACATTGAATGCATGCTTCCCATTTGTATGCGGATTTCCAGTGATTTTAATCTAAAAATCATAACTACATGTGTCGACATATGTGAATTACAAATTTTGATGAATGTACTTTCGCGTCTCTCACCGGCTCCATGCCACCGCAGCGCTTATGGGAAAACATGCGACGTGCTTTTTTCGACTCTCTTGTTTGGTTGCAGTATTCGCGATGTGCCAAACAATTTGACGGTGTGATTATATTGAGCCTTAACCGTGTGATGAAGTTACCATTTGTGGCCACATACTGTGGTTTTTTCCAGATAACCCCAACCACTTTGATTCGCTCATCTGCCAAAATTACTTTTCAATACTCTCCAAAGGCTAGACCAAAAAACTTGGTGGTGTTGTTTTTATAAACCGATTTTCACATCAAAAATAATAATAAAAAAAACGGAATGCTGAATTACACGTTCGATTGAAAGAACACAAATCACGAATTTTTTTTTACCATCATTTACGAAACGAGACATGTTAATATTGACTGATGAAAACTAATCTCCCTCTTGTTAAAATCCATAACAATCGATTGTTATTTTGTGCCAACTGAATAAATGAAATGAAATGAAATGGTGTTTGATTCGGGCAAATAATCTAAAAATAGTGCACATATTTGTGTAAAAATATTCCATTAAAATTGTATTTATTTTTGGGTCGAAGCCGATTTTCGAACTAGTACATTTTATAAATAAACAATACTAACTGCGACAAATTCGGTCAAAATCAACATTTACGCATTCAGTAGACAGTGTAATATGAACAAATGTGCTCTTTGCTTTAAAAAAAATATCCAAAATCGGGCAGATTCAGCACAATCATATAAACAAAGAATAAACGTTTACAAAAACGATGTTTTACTTACGCCAATTGAATTCGATTGCTCGTGTTAGTAACACACATTAACAATTGTGTCAATCGTGAATGCACTGACCGAAATTATATTCAAAATTCACATAACTTGCTCTTATCGGCTTTAAAACAGAGGAAAAAAAACTCCTGTGGACTTAAATGTTGAATTATTTATTTTGTTATTAAAAACAACTCAACATTTTATTTTTATAAAACGAGCTGGAAATTCTCTGGTTTCTATTATGAAATATTAGTTCTGTCAAGAGACAAACGAAATAAATATGCTTGTGAACAAAATCCCAGGAAATCCAATGGAAAATCGTGGAATGAAATGCAACCGGAGAAATAAAAAACGAAAAGAAAATCAAGCCATTTTATTCATTAAAGTGACTCTTGAAAGTCATCATAATTATTGTAATGATCATATAAAATGAAGATAGTGAAGTTTTTCAGGAACTAAACTTGCTCTATACAACACAAATAACGCAGTTTAATGGAGTGCTCGAGTTGCGAATCTCGTACAACACTTGTTTTATTTAGTTACGTATGTGATGATAACGCTAATTGAAAAGGAACCAATGTTATCATTCTCAGCAATCGTCATATTTTTTAAAAGCGAGATAGTTTTTTTTAATACGGTCGTTAGCGAACCGGATGAGAATCGTTGCTATTAGTACGTAAGTCCTGAATATATTTACGTGCAACGTTAATCAGCCAGTTTGCAAAATTTGCCGCCGTATCAACTTTTGAAACATAGTCATAAAACAATAAAATCTACGTGCATCGTTTTTATATTACAACTATTGCAGATTACGAATGAAAAAGTGCTTGAAGAAAATGTTCATATTTCAAACAGATAAGAATTTCTTCTTTCATATGGCGCCACGTTCACTTTCTTTTAACAATGTAATTTAAATTACATCTATATTTCGGGTAATTCGGCTGCCTTCAGACTATACCTTTAAAAATGTGAAACGTAAATTCAATTGAAATTGAAAAAGTTTGGTTTTTCGGAACGATTGATTCTGAAACGGGTAATACATCGGGATGTTTCTATACATCACTTTTATACTTGATTTAAAATGAAAATCTCTCAGATGTGTCAAAAGCCAATTTTTTTGTCGAATAGTGACTTTTGCTTATCACTCATGCCGTCATAAAAACGTACATATTTATTTAATTCTCGTTATGTTAAAAACGATGTACAAAATTTATGATAAATTCAGTCTGTGATCAGACGGTGAATAAATAAATAAACCTCTAAGTTTTTATTCTTACGTCTCGTCTGGAGTGTCACATAACATTGAACCAAGAGAGAATCAAATACACCCGAGAAGAAGAGAGAAAAAATAGTCAAATCAATGCAAAATAACAAACAAACTGTATTGTTGTTCCAGTATTATACGGGTTCGCTTAATCGCATTGTAATGGTTGACCATACACATCACGCTCTTAGTCACACTCACACACAGTTTTGATTCACAATATAAACAGTAGTTTGTATTTATTCAATACAATGGGAAACTTTTTCACTTTTTATACACAACACAAGTACATTCAAAGTCAAGTCATTGGCATAGCATTGTATGTACGATTGAATGTGATGTTATGTCGTCATTTTGCACACTGTTGCTTTCGATATTCATTTATTGTGTTTGAAAGTCTGTGTATATGTATGCACAATACCAAAAACGTTGATCTTGTGGTCATACACAAACAAACAAGCAACAACAGTAAAAAAATACGCAACATACAAACAAAAATCGTTTGAGTTTTCGTTCGCTCCGGCTTGATTTTTAATTGAAAGTTTTAAAACGAAAGTTGACGCTGAGCCGAACGTGTCGGTTTGTATGCTTGATCCGTTGTATTAAGTTCATATTTGGATTTTGTGAGAATAATTTTTGTCTGGATTTGTGGTTTTATTCGACCAAATTGAGTGAATAAGGTAATTTAAAAAAAAATCATGCCAAAACATGATTTTGAAGTGAAAATTACTGTGAATATTACTGTCGTGACTTTGAATTTATATTTTCAATTGAATGAGACTTTTCAATTTTTGTTTGAAATCATATCAGCTGTGTAGTGGATAATTTTTAAGAAAAAAACGCCAGTTTGTTACAATTCACATGTAATTTAATGAAAATTAAACGATTGATTGAACCGATCTCAATTGACGAATTCAAATTACTTAAATAACCTTTTGAGAAGAAAAAAGTGTGCGTGTGATTTGCAACGAAATATTGAATCTATTCGTCTGTTTGTTAGCGAGAGAGAATGTCGAAGTGTGTGTTGAGTAAGAGAGAGATGCGAATAAAAAACTATTCACCCTGTTCATAATTTCTTGTTCACCTTAAAAGTTCGTTGCGAGAGTAATTTTCATATTTCTGTTACGTTCTATGTCATACTCGAAATCAATAGAACAAATCGAAGGTAGAATAAATCGAATCTATCTTATAAAAATATACAGAAACAACTATGAAACCAGCATGATTTGTTGGTTTGCTTAGTTCATAAGTCGCCCATGATGTTGTTGATTTGACGTATGTGATAAAGGCCATTTATTTAGTTTTAAATAAAAACAGCCTCGTGTGTTCCAGTGCGCGATTATACATAAAAAAAGATCTCTATTGATTGAGTACATAATTAAATCGTTTGCTTTGGTGTAATTACAATATTAAAACTTGATAATAGTTTGAAAAAAAAAACGTCTTTTTCTCTCATTCTCTACACACATTAGACTCTTGTCGAGAACACAATGCACTAGTGCTCATTTGAATGAATATATATATATATGAAAATAACACGTATTTGATTCGCAGGAAGACAAAAATTCTCACTTTTAACAAGACAATATGTCTAATTGTTGTGTTTTTGTTTCTTGTTTCTAGCTAATTTTCAATTGAGGCTGAATCGCAACGGTGAACAGAACGTCCAAAAGATCACTTGGGTTTTGGTTTTACGCTCGAAACAAAGGTGTAGACACTCCAACAGAAATCAAAAGTACTTTGATGTGTGATTAAAGTGTCGTTGTATTCAAAATATCAACAGCTAATAGATTTAAAGATTTATGTGTGAGTGCAAATGACACTGAATTTCTCTTAAAATACAAAAGTTACAAAATCACTGCGAAAAAAAGAGAATATTCGTGTCGATTGTGTTTTGTGCGAAACAGAAATATTGTGATTCTCTAATGGATACGGCTTGGCGTTTTCGGTTGGTGCTAATTTGCACATTTGCAATAATAATTTTTGGTGACATACTGGGTTATGCCAATGTCAAGGGTGACAAAGACTCCAATGGAAATCATCAACGCACTGTCGATTCAACGCTCAAGAAAAATCAACATAATCGCAACCAACATCAAAATATTGAAGGTATGTTTAGTCGACTTTCAAATGACACATCGTCAGACATCTATGGGTCAACAAAATCTTTATTCGAAAGATTTCTTGATCTCATAACCAGTTTATTGAAAGTGATTTTATTCAAATACGGTATTTTTTTTATTGAAGAATGTTTTGTGATAATCACTTTTTTTTATCGACTATTCGAATTTATGTCATTGTCTCGTAAATACGTCATTGACGTGACCGCAATATTTGAGTAATTTGCACACAGTATTCTATTTTCGAAAACTACAAATAAATGTGGAAATCGAATTAAATTTGATTTAGATGGTTTAAGAGAATTTCGGCATTTTTCACAATTGATTGAATAAAATCGTTGCTAATCGCCCAATACAGTGTGAATGTAGTTCGCACTGAAAAGCAAAAGCAAAATAGTCGAGCAATCACGAAAAGAGGAAAACAAAATGGATTTTTATTCAATTAAAGGCCCCACAACATTTTTAATTGAAAAAAAAAACTATATATGTGTAATGTAATGAATGCGATTACATGCAATTCCCATAACAAATGTTGCGTGAAAAAGCGTGTGTACAATGTAAATGTGTTTTGTTTATTGAGCAGTGTTTTTTTTTCTCTTCAAATTTTACTTCCAGATTCGCCGTCAACAGAAGACATCGAAGATTTCATCTCGAAAAAATCAAACAGCAACACAAAGTTGTTACAAATCGATTTAAAGGATAAGATAACGTTGGCCAATCATATGCGTGAAGCATGCCTGCCGAAATTGCTGTGTGAAATTGCCGCCAAGCCATCCAATGTTATCACAGAAAAAGAACAAAATCTACTCGATTTGATTAGGTATGTAAAAATAAAGCAAGCGTCACAAACAATTGTTATTGGCTTAAAGAAAAAAAAGGCACAGTAAATGTATTCATCAACTATTCAATCAACTCCAACGGATGAAACTCGGTAGTATCAGTGTGCTGAATTAAATAGTTGAGTATAAGAAAGCAATGAACGCTCGTTCAAAATCCAACAAAGAGAAATGATCGTTTCTTTTTTCATTCGGTTAGTCGTCGCTCTCGTAACAACTTTCACTCTCTACACCATAATAATGAATGCTTGAACTCAATCCGAGGAAAAAAAATTTTATTTTCTTTTTTTGAAAGTATATTATTGATATTCATCGAATAGTGGAAAAAAAAATCTATAAATACGCTCACGTATATGACATACATTGTTTTTAATTGAATAGATAATTATATCGTGATTCGACGTGTATTTTTATCACAGCAATTGCGGTTTATTGTTGTTGATAAATCTGGTCTGAGCAATTAACGTCATTACATAATAATATTTACAAAGACGTCATCAGACTGATACTTATCTCGGTTCAGCGTTCTCATGTATATATTTTATGGTCAGAAAGTAATTCAACGAATTTTGCAAATTAGTAACAACATAGTTCATATTTAAAAAAAACTACAACTATTTATAGCATATACCTGTCCAACCACTTTCTTTATATGGATATGTTTTTTTAATGCGGAATTTATCAACATATTTGATGCGCAGTTTTTATCACGTGACGTCTTTTATTCAATAAATTATGATTTCTTTTTTTTTAATTTGTAGATCGACGACTTTGTCTTTTGTTTGGCAATATTCAACGCCAACAAAGTGGCACTTTGCCGCTCACATGGGACAATTGATGCGTGATACGATTGACTCATTTGGGCGAGCCGCTGGTTGCTCGGAACTTTGGCCACAGTGTCCATTCAATTCGGCAACACTACTTCAATTGAATAAAAAAGACGGCGGTAGCCTATCTGGATATTAAATTGCTGTTGAAAATGACGTTCAATCCATGGTGTTAAACTTAGGTGGCGATGATGACTTATACGACTCGATTAGTTTATGATATAGATAGATGAAAATTGTGATAAACCCATGAACTCTCGATGAAAACTCTTTTTTTTTTTGACCAATTTTTTACAACGAAAGTCATATTCTCAAAGTGTTTCACATGACTTCAGATTAAAAGAAACTTTATTTATTAACTCAATATTAGGAAAACCAAACATTTAGCATCATTACTTACCAGAAGAAAAAAAAGTGAATATGGAGGTCATTCCCATTTTCATAATGACATATTGTGCGGTCAAATTATCGCATCAAATGTCAACTTATTTCCGGTTTTGTTTTTTTTTTTTGTTTAAGAATTTAGTTTAAGCGGCAATCCAACCATTTAATTTAAAACGATTTTTTTTATTCATGTAAAAAGTTATGCAAATCAAAATCAGTTGTGCGAAAACCTTAGACGACAGTTATGGATATGAAATAAGAGCGAGTATATACGGGGAAGCTGAAAATGTCAATTTGAATTGTAAATGTGTAAATATTAAACGCAATTCGATCATCTAGTCCCTGATATGTTCAATGAAGAAATGACCGAACAAAAATGGAATATTCAATCGAATTTCCGAAATAAGTTTTAAATCGCATGAAATAATTAAGTAAATTTTTGAAGAAAACTGTAAATGATACAAAGAATAAACAATAGTTCAAAAGAACATTGCTGACAACTCGGAAAAAATCACAATTTAATTCTTTTATGCTTGAAAACAAATGACAAATCACGATGACAATCCGCAAAGTCATGCGATTTTTAAAACAGGTTGGTGTTATTCATTCAGACATTGTTGCTATCAATCTTCAGACATTGTTGCTATTTTTTTCTCTTCCTCTCTTTATCTCGCCCACATCAGTCTCCACTGAAATTATTGTTGTGTTTTGGTAAAGTATCTTGTATTGAGTTAGCAATGATTTGTTTATTTATTTAAATAATTAGAACTTTAGTCACGTATTGCTTCAAACGTACCGGTTTTTCGATTGTTACAGGTAAAGCACATTTATATTGAGCCCAACTCTTTCTTCTAAATTTAGATGAAGTGTCATTCTCAATGAATTTAATATAAATGTGAGACAAACAACAATATCATACTGAAATCTGAATTTATTCAAATCATTGCCAAAGAAATATGTTCGAGTGACGCAAATTGGTTTTGATGTTATCACGAAAATATTTTCGCACCTTTTGCATTTCTTGTCTTGTGTGAAAACAGTTATTGCAAAAAATTTATTTTTGTAATAGAATTCCATTTTGAATAACAAGTTACTTAATTTTATTCAATCTTATGGAATTTATTTCAATATACAGAGAAAAAAAACGTGACATAATTTAATATCAAAAACAATTCTCATCCATACGAACGGGAGTAAAATTTCAGGCTTCATTATAAACTTTATAAGCAATGATTGGGTGCTCAATATCAATAAGTCAATTAAATCAACTTTTATCCAAAGAGTGTCTGAGATTAACAAGTATTTAAAATATAAAAACAAGAACATTTGCTAATTTCAGTCAAAAATTTATCAAATTGAAAGATTTCCAATGCCCGTATGTGATTTATGCAATTGTAAATATACTTTCCCCTATTTTTGTCATTCTTTAACGGAGTATTTGCACACATGTTTCGGCGTCAACGATGGATCATTTAACTTAAATTGCTTTTATTGATTTCCTTTCGACTTTGTTTTCAAAACAGCATTGGTCACTAAGGCGTGCAACAAAATGATAAATGATTTGTAACGATTGGTTAATGTAATACCAATAGGGGATAGAAATGCAACTTGTTTCAACAATTAAGGACACATTTTCAATCATCACTTTCATTGTAAATATCCAATTCAATGGTATTTTTATATGAATTTATTTGACTTTTAATCTCTTACAAAGTGCATCAATTCCGTTTTGAAGAATGAAATGTAACACTAAATTCCAGGTTATTTTTTCAATTATCTAACATTTGTCACTAAATGTTCACTGAGCCTGATTTCATTTCTAAATAAGTGAGCACCAAATAAATGTTGAATATTCAACTATGCAGTAGAATATGCATCGCTGAAGGACATGATTCTATAGAATCGAAAAACAATGAAAATGTAAAATTGTTTGTTATTATTGTCGCTGTTGTGTGCGTGTATGCGTGAATTGATGCTTAATTAAACATGCATAATAATCGAAGAAATGCCTCGAGCGAACAATTATTATCAAACCAAGCGTTTTCGTCAAATTTATTAATATTTGGGTTTTGAACATATCCGTGCCTAAGAGTTAGTTGTTGATTCATTCGATTCATATGCTCAACTTAGTACAACATACAAATTAAATTATGTAATCAAAGTGTTGTATCTTAAAGTACATTCACCGAACATCTTTGTCTAAGGCAAGCCGTCGTTGAGAATAATATGACACAGGTGCAGATGAAAGATTCATGCATTCATGTTGCAACATGACATTGTACGGCCATAAATATTTACAACTATAATATTCGAGCTGCGAATCACACGTGTATCATAAATTATTATGGATAAACTGTTTGCGATTATAACTCGATATCGGTCTTGGAATGTCAATTTCACGTAATTTTGTTGAAGTTTAAAAATTTACAATTTTTCCGTCGTTGTTACTGCCAAATTTTTTTTTGCTGAAACTTTCATTCAAAAGACGTCTTTTATCTTATTGAAGTTTTTTACACATGAAGACCCTTCAAAAGACCCTTTATCAACAAAATATGTAGTAATAACATTCATTCCGAAAGACTTTCTTTCCGCTTAATTCATTTGTTTTTCATTTGACATGAATCACGTGGCTTCTTTCATTCGATTTGAATAATGAACTTTGGGATAAATGTTAAGATAATATTTTCCCAATGAATTTGCAGCTCTGAATCAAATGCATGGATTTCGAATTAATTGAAGTGCTTAAGAGCCTCTTGTAGGCATAAAACAATTAAGAGTCGTATCAAAATAAATAATGCCACAGATGAAAATTGACGATGCACACAAAGAGAACAAAATGATAAATGAGTTTTTTGATTTTGTAACTTATGCACGCGACCAACCAACATTTTTAGTCTTCTTAATATATGTTGCTTTCGTTGAAACCAGAAAAAAAAATCCGCAATATCGACTCATTTGAACCAAATACTTTTTGTTATTGCTGTAAATTCGAGGAAGAAATCGCACAAAGCATTGTTCGTGTCAACAGAAAACAATTAGCTTCGATTATAAATGATATCGTGACATTTTAATTTGCGAAAATACATTGTGTTTAGGCAAAAAGAATTCCAAGCCAATCTTTTGTCTACAGCAATTATACTAAACATTTGCTTTTCGCTGCATATGTAGTCGCTGCACTACAACACCCCATCAAATATCCTATGAAAATAAAAACATTTTTTTTGGATCGGCATTTAATTAATCATTTTATACATAGTCCAGGCGTATACACTTTCATTTATGTTTATCTTTCAAAGTGAAAAATACTTCCGAAAATATCACAGAAAATGACAAATGATTGTAATAACTTTTTTTCGTTCGCTCACCACATTAATTCATGCATAATTTTCATTCTTTCTAAAAATTGTTGTTCTTTCGACACAATTCTACCAAAAACATACCATTTTTCGGCGTTAAACAATTAATCTTCAGGGGAAAAAATTCACCACAAATGAAATTCTGGGCAAGTCTTTAGATGTTTGCATTATAAAAAAATGATGTAAAATAAATAAATAGTAAAATGTTTTTGAATGCTAATTGAATATAAGAAGAAACAAAAATAAAGGGTTAAACATATTTCACGCATATATGTCCCATTTATACATTATTCTAAATGTGTATCACACGTGACGTCATTTTCTAAATAAAATGTCGTTAATCAAGCGGAGGCGAACATTTAATGAATGAGTTCATAGCATTCAACCATTGTTTATTCATGTATCTGGATTTTGTTGAAAAGTATTTCATTTCAAAAAACGTATAGCTGTATTCTGTCATTTTTGAATTGAAAAAATATTGAAAATCTTATCTACTCATTTATAATATGTAGCGCATCGAAAAGAAATGTTTTCTTACTTATAGATTGATGTCTTCGCAAAGAAACGCATTATATTTGTCAACGACCATATCATGTAAAAAGCACCAGTTCTCGTCCGATCACTGAAGTTAAGCTGCATTGAGCATGGTTAGTACTTGAATGGGTGACCGTCTGGGAACACCATGTGTCGTTGGCACCATTACTTTTTTTCCAATTTTTTTTTAATTAATTTTCGTTTCAAGGGATATAATTTTATGAAAGAAAACCACAATTTGTGAATTTTTCCATCGAAATTTCTTGAGTTTTATTCTACCTATTTTTATACATCATTCATATCGTGTCACCAATTTCAAGTATTTTGTTACAAAAATGATAGTCATTCTATGTATGTTTGACTTTAAATTGAAATCATATTATTCGGACCATATTTTGCGTGAATAAAACAGCCTACTAAGCCACGTTGTCTTACATTCCTTCTAATACATATTCGATTGCCTACATAAATACATTGGCTGAATAGTACATGTATATGCGTGGAAGAAGCTATAATGTAAATGAAATTATCGGTGGGTTCAAATAATTGTAAGTCCTCGGTAGTATAGTGGTCAGTATTCCCGCCTGTCACGCGGGCGACCGGGGTTCGATTCCCCGCCGGGGAGGATTTTTTTTTCTTTTTTTTCTTGAACTGCTTGATTTTAAACAACATCAAATTGTTAAATTTTTAAGTATTCAAGCTGTTTTCTTTCGAAAATTCATTTTTCATAGACTAAATTTTATACCATTCAACATTTATATACAAAAAATCAAAGTATCTGTGCTTGATTAAGAAAAATGCATGATTTTTTTTCAAAATTGATTTATCTAATTCGAAGCCATAAATCACGAAAAGAATATTTTTTATTCAAAAGAGTAATATTTCAAGTAATTTTTTTCTAAAACATAATCATTTGAAAAAAAAAAAAAAAATGAAAAAAAGTAAAAGTGCCAACGACACATGGTGTTCCCAGACGGTCACCCATTCAAGTACTAACCATGCTCAATGCAGCTTAACTTCAGTGATCGGACGAGAACTGGTGCTTTTTACATGATATGGTCGTTGACAAATATAAACCGACTTTATGCAATCACATTTCATTCATTCATCGAATTCTGAACAAATCTCTCAACTCAATCTGTGTCATTATGATTTGTAGACACTAATATTGAAAAGTATGCAAAGCAAGCAAATTGAAATCGATCAGTCATAACTGCATCAATTTATCCATATTTTACGTATTTTTTAAAATGATAAAAGTCCGCATGCACTATTCAGACGTTTTAACGAAACAAAATCAGATATTCAAAATAATAATGAATTTGACGTAAAATATCACTCATCCATTGACATTTTTTGTGCTGAAATTATTGTTGGTGCATCCAAAAGACTCTTGCTATTTATTTGAATGACTGCAATCATAATTTGTGTTCTGCACAGTATCGCCTTTGTTGAAAATTTCTTTGTGACTTTTATTAAATATATTTTTGTTGTTTTACATTTAAACTTTGTGAGTCAAACTTACACAAACAAATTATTATGTTTATAATTATAAGTTATTATTTATTATAAGTTTGTTTATCAATTTTTCTTTGATTTTGAATAAAATTAGATTCCAAATGTTTATAAAAAAATTCGAAAAGTTATCTGACCCAAAAATGGAAAAATGGACTCAAAAAAAAAACAAATCCGGGCTCAACTGTGAATTGAGAATCGGGAATTCAGAGAATTTGTTTACAAAATTCACCATTGAGACGTACAAAGTTGACACTATCTTTGACAATTAAGTCGTAATAATGAAAACAAAAATCGAACAAAGGTCATGTATATAAATTGTTTGCTATTTCTTTTGTTTTCTTCATTTCTCTTTGATACTTTTTCCACTACCATACCAAATTGCCGCAGTATAAATTAAATCGATCCCATTTTTTTTTTCAAAGAAAAAATTGATAAATGGTCAAATTTTAATGTCTCTCTTTCTTCCAATATAAAATTTAAAAAAATACTGGTAATAAAAAAGTATTCATCCGGGCTCAACTGGGAATTGAACCCAGGGCCTCTCGCACCCAAAGCGAGAATCATACCACTAGACCATTGAGCCGGTTGAAAATATACCGTTGCTTTTCAGTTTTGCATTTGCACTGCACTGAGTTTTTCTACGAAATATTTTGGACGCCAGCTGCCACTTTGAAACGTGTCAAAAATAGATGATTTGGCATTTGGTCGTCGTATAAAAAATGCATATCTCGTAAATAAAAATCGCTTTCAAATAAATAACTCTGAAGTGTTATATCAATATTTTTGAAACAAATGAGTTCGTAAATCCAGTCGATTATTTTGATGCATACCTCTGACAGCTACATCTTAATTTAATATTGATTAACAATAAAACAAAAAAAAATTACTCACATAAATAGGAATTTTTCTGCATGTTTTTAATTCTAAAGAATGCTCCAGGGAAAGTTTTGCGCGGTGCTGATTTTAATTTAAAGTATTCTTTAAATAAAACCATCTGCAATAAAATAATAGCCGTTCTTTTGAACTTTTTTGTGCACATTTTATAACAACAATTAAAAATTTCTGTGATAAAAATGTAAAAAATTATATTCATCTAATGGATAAACGGAAAACACAATGACAAACACGGCACAGTGCAAGAAGAAAAATTAATGCGAAATAAGCAATCGTAAAAAAATGAATAATTATTATTCTTCGTCTGTTACATTTGTTGACCATAAAAAATGGGTAAACGTTGTCCATTGTTAGATTCAGTTATGATGAAAATTGAAGAAGAAGATTAATGTTTTTTTCATAGCATAAATGCATTCAAAAGGAATACAAGCGAGACAGCGGCACCAGCACCAGCACCCGCGAAAACGTAAACAAAAAAGTTTAATAGGAGAAACAAATCGTAAAAAAACTAAATTTTAATATTGTCATTTGGAATATGAGAAGTATCATGGATGTGATATCCATGTCCGCCCACTCTACATTTTTTCTTCTCTCAAGAAACCCGTTTCAAGTTTGTATCATACGCTATGTTTTGAATGAACCCTTTAATGTAAATGCAACGGCTCTACGACATCCGTTTGATGACTTTGTCGTAAAAAAAATGATATTTTCACCATAAAAACCTATAAAAAGTAGAACAACAACACACTGAATTGGGCAAGTGTTATTATTCTGATTCTGCATGGTCGTAGGATTCGGACTTTATGATGCAATGCACCAAAGCCAGAAGCAAGAGGCACAAACAGCACTACTACTGTTTATTAATAGATAGCTGGTGACGGAGTTAAATACAAAAATTAGATTAAAGCAAATAACAAAATAAAAACAAAACAATATACATAATTGTCTTCCGTGTTATTAGCGTGCTACCCTCGCACTCCGCACCAACGACACATACCGTGTATTGTACATTCTTCAACACCACCGTCTCGCTACTATTTTTACGAGTTTTTATTGTTCAGTGCGCGATTTTGCTCGTAAAAATATTATATAGGTTCTTCTGCTGCTGCTGCTGCTGCTTCTTCTTCTACGTTGCGTTGCATGCTTTCTCAATGCAAGCCAGATCCTTGAATAAATGCAATAAAAATCGCTCACCCCTCGTGAGAATGCATAATAATTTAGCCACGTACCGAATGTATTTGCATCGACATAAATTAAAATTCATTTAGTATAGACGAAGTTAATCATTTCATTTCCACCCGTTTAAGGTTTACGATTGTTGCGTGCGTCAAACTATATACGAATTTCATTTTTGTCCCATTGATGGAAAAAAGAAACTAGGCAAATCTCATAATATTTCTGTATAGAAAGTTATGATCTTTATTTTCACATTAAAATTATGCCACGCAGAATATGATGCAACATGAATTGATTCGCATCTGTTTTGACAATAATTTTACTACATCGTGTATATTTTGCTCTGGACTCTCAATTTAACGCAATTATTCGTGAACACAAGGGCGGGTAACATTAAATATAATAAATTTTACTATCAAAGACAATAAATAATTTTACGAGCGCTTTCGTCCGCTTTTATACAAAACTGTTTAACCTCTCTTTGGTGATATGTCCATAATTATGTCTTGTTTGCATTACAATCACGAAATTTGAAGAGAATAAGTTTAATTAGATATCTTGGATTTTTTAGCTGTGAATTTTTGTCAAAGGGGTAAAATTAAACTCAACACCAATCTTGGCTGTATTAAAGAATTAGAATTGAAAATTATAAATATTTGAATATACAATGTCTTAAAAAATTATCTAATTCATATCGCTTTTGTTCATATAATTCAACAAAATCGGAATGAAATTTCACTGAACTCAATTCATACTGTAATACGGTTTAGGTAAAATGACATCGAAGCAGTTATATGAAAATACCAAGTTGCATTGAAATCAAGTCAAATGAATCCATATTATAAATGGATAAAAGTATAACCTTAATAAAAATAAACATGAAAACCACACCAAAAAATACACAAATCGGTTGAAAAAAAGGAAAATCTTACTTTCCTTGTAAAGATTGAATTTAACATATGCACATATATGCGCTACCACATTCGTACACATTAAATTTTCAAGCAATGAAATTGTTTCGAAAAACCGTTCAATTTGTTCAGAATTTTGATTTAATGTGAAAATTGTGATTTGAAATCGCTTGAAATGTAAAACCCCCATAAATCTAGCGAGTTCATGAATCGTTCATTTTTCTAATGATGTTAACTGCATTGCCTGTTTTTCGTAATTCAACTCACGAATTGCGAACATTGAATTGTCTTTTTAATTTTTGGTATTTATATAATTTCCATAGAATGTTTCAACAGCGGTTTTTGTTAGTGGTTTCATCATTTTAAAACGACAAAAGTATATATTCATCATATTTCTTCCTCTTGCTTTAGTTCAGTTGTGTTGTTCAAATAGACAAGAACGTTACTGTAATGACCAATTTTAGAACGTGTGCTCTGCTTCAATTCGATTAAAAAGAAAATTTGGTGTTTAGAACATTCTCATTCCATGTGAGGATTACACAGCCGGAAATTGTATTTTGCTTCTTACTCTACCGATTTTTCTACCTCAATTGTGATTTTATATTTGGTCATTTTGCAAACAATTTTAGCTCTAAGACACAATATAAAACAACAAAAATACCAAAAACATTTAAAAAATTTAAATCATCGTCACATTGTGGTTTTTTACAAACTTTTCCACAAATTTTTCCGAAACGAGTCAACAAAACAAACTTATCAAAAAAAAAATTTCAAATGCTGTATAGTCAGAGGACTGAATCTCATAAATAATATTTTGTATATATTGTATATAAAAACGAATATTCAAAAATAAAAATTACATTACATTACATTACAAACAATTTTACATAACGTTCTGAAGAACTCATTCGATTGATATCTGTTATATCCTTGCTATTCAATCCCATTGTACTTTCGAACAATCTTGTCGATAGTGATTAAACCATGAATTAAAAATAATTGAAATAATGCAAAAATCACAATTACACTTCATTGAAAATACGACTGTATGTCTCATGGGAAAAGTCCCATTGATCGAAATTCAATGATTCAAACAAAAAATGTATCAGATATGATTTTTGTAAATAAAATTCTCTTATTCTGAGTAAGTTGAATGGAATAATTAATTTATTTGTTAATAGATGGCGCATAGTAGTGTTGCTTAGCTTTACCATAAGTTCTGTAGAATTGAACTTACACTCACCTCCCAACAACAGATGTCGCCACTATACATAGCATCGATTTTATACATTTTTTCAAATGAAAGCTGCCTGAAAAATTCATTCATTTCATTAGAAATGAGAAAAAAAAAAATCTCTGGACATTTAGTAGTTCTTTTCGAAAACAACAAAAAATTCCATTTGGCCGAATTATGAATGATTTTACTTGATATTTCTGGTGATTATAATTCATATTAAAAATATTGAATATCGGTTTTGATCAAAAATATGATTTTAGTCGCAAAGCATGCTCAATTGCGGTCTTTGTGTCTTTATCTTCACTACATGACAAAAGTAACATACTCAAGCTATTTAAGCACAGGAATTGTATTATTACATCTCGTAAATAATAATTTGAGATAATGCAATATAACTCATTTTAAAAACTTCGTACAATTTTCACCTTAAAATATTATTGTTGCTGTTTTTCTTTTTTTTCTAATTTCAAATTTGTTTCATATTTTAAAAATCAACTAATTTTTCTAATTGTAGTAAACATATGACATCATTTTTGTATAGATTTCAGTTTTATAGCTCGCCTGAGGATGGAAACATTGTTTCCGAAAACGTTAGCATTTTATAAATAAAATCACGTTAAATTTGTATCAAAATAATATTATTACACAGCAGCAGGTAAACCAATGCAAATATTATGTTTAATAGTAAAAACTCATTTAGTCTAATTATATCTCTGGTTTTATTTTTATTATTATATCATTAAACCTACGTTGCAGATTTTCTGAGCGCAGCTGAAGCATGCAAACGATTCCAAGCGTGTGCACAGTATTCTTACGTGTTAAATTCAGTGAGATTCCCGATCTGTCGGATGATATATTGAATGAGTTTGTGAAAATAAAACCACAATTGAAAATATTGGCCATTGTGAACAGATAACATCACGCATCGTTGAAATAATTGGTAACTGTTTACCGGATTTAGAACATTTATGCCTTTTTAGCTTATCCAGTTTTGTAATCGATTCATTTTTAGAAGTTCAAAGAGATGTTTTGGTAGGCTTACTCAAATTACGAAAACTAAGATGATTATTTGGTCGAATTCTTATGGGTTTTCTATAGAAAAATTA